TAGTATACCATCAACCACTCCAGCAGTAGAGGTACTGGTGTCTTGTAGATTAGAAAGAGTATTGGACAATGTTATTAGCTTTTGTGCAGAATCTTTTGTAGTTTGTAAGATTTGTCAGTGTTAGTCATTGAAGTTGAAGAGTTTTCAGTAACCGAGCAGTATTCTGTGCCACACCATTAGCCCATTCATCGAAATCAGGAAGGGTCTTGTTAACTTTAGATGCAACATCATTATCATCTCTAGCAGACAATTGCAACAGTGATAAGCAAAGTATTACCACCAGTAGCAATACCATGAGACACAGCAGTCCAGCAATAACAACCAATGGTGTACTCCATGTTGACTGCTTTGATACTTTATTCTGTATTGCCCCTTCTGTTGATTGAGCATCACCACCATCCCTCCTTGCATTAATACTCGTATTAAGCATCTCATAATGGCACTCCTGACTCTGTATAGGAGCTAATGACATGTATGACATGTCCTCGTTATTTGCCATTCCTTCCATTGCTATTCCACTTAATTCAAGCGGTTCCAAGAAAAAGCTGCTCTTTACATTTATATAGTGTTGCAAGACAATATTGTAGTGTGACATTTATTAGATACATGTACATGATATCGTTGAAATGATAGATAAGATCGCTACCAAGATTGTAATCTTATTTATTAAATATCCTGTAGATATAAACTATACACTTTTTGAATTGATAGTGCAACAAACTCTGCTATTGATCATGTGTCAATAACACATTCCAATAGCTGAACTGTGTACTTGTTAGTAGGAAATGGCATATACGTCAGTAAAAACACTGTTGTTTATGCTTATAGAAAGTCATTTATATTTTTATATTCATCATACATGTTTGTTAGGTATAAACTACAGTATGTACTTGTTAGTAGTAATTACAAATGATATAGTATACACAGTACCAGACATTGTTATTGATTGCATGACTATAATATATTCCCCTTTAGATAGTTCTGATACTGTAAAGTCAGTAGATTTTGTCTGGTCAAACTTTTGTTACGAAGCCTTAAATGAATCTTGTTTGGTTTTTATTTTTGTTCAGAACAGCTAGCAATGCATCTACATGGCATAGGAATGTGTCTTTTTGGTTTGCTAAAAATAATCAATAATCCTTATAATAATCAAAGTCAATGCTGGCTGGTTATCGCCATTTTTTTTTAAACTCCAAATTTTGGAAAAATACCCTGTACTATAGCCCATGGTTTTTTCTGAAAAATGACTCCGAAATGACCCCCAATTTTTATTACATTTTTTGATACATATTGATGTACTTATGCTACGTAGAAAGTTTGAGCAGATTCCGACTTGAATTTTTCGAGTTATGACCAGTTTTTAAAAACTCCAAATTTCGGAAAATTACCCTGTACTATAGCCCATGGTTTTTTCCAAAAAATGGCTCCGAAATGACCCCCAATTTTTATTACATTTTCTGATGCATAATGATGTCCTTATGCTACGTAGAAAGTTTGAGCCAATTCCAACTTTAATTTTTTGAGTTATGACCATCTGAAAATATGCTAATTTTTATGTATTTTTTCTCTTTTTTCTCTAGTTGCCACAAGTACTCTAGCCATGGGAGTAAGTTAACTACTGTTTTACTACAATACAACCATACTGTACATTATTTACTATGGCTACTCTCCAATTCTTTGTAGGTCAATTTACCAGCTCATTTGGTAGTGATCAAATCAACACTTCACTACATTGGAGGAATGTTCACTGAATACACTGAGAGCCAGATACTGCAGATGATAGGAAGGGCAGGAAGACCTCAAGTTAGTAATAGTAATAACAATAAATCAGGTCATTGATTTTGGGGAATAATATAGCAAATTTAAGACTATTGTGGTGAATTTAATAGATTTTTTATTTATAAAATGAGGGACTTACATGTACATGTGCATGTGTAGCATAAATTTCGACAGCATTTTGTCAAACCATATATGGAATATTAAGAGAGAAGAGTGTCATTTTTGTTATTTATAGTTTGATACAACAGCTACTGCAGTCATATTGACCAGATATTCAACAAAATCAAAGTATGAAGCTCTTCTTAGTGGAAGCCAAGTGATAGAGAGCAAGTGAGTCCATTCATTCACTAATAATAATGTGAATCATATGATATTAAAATGTTAAATGTATATCTAAATGTCTGACTATCTTTCTAGTCTTCATTCTCATTTGATTGAGCATTTGAATGCTGAAGTTGTTCTCTGTACCATTACTGATGTTAGCATTGCTTTGGAGTGGCTCAAATCAACTTTCCTCTACACACGAATCAAGAAAAATCCAAAACACTACAGTGAGGATTACAATACCTTCATGATCCTTTATTGTGTAATGTACACACTCTGCTCTCTTTCTTAATTCTACAGATATACCTGAGAACTTACCTGCTGAAATTTTAGAGGAGAAATTGCAAGGTTATTTTTTATTTTATATTTATTTTTTAATTTCTCCATTTTCTCTTCTTTTTCCATATAGAGATGTGCCTGAAGGATCTTCGAATGCTAGAAAACTGTGGCCTAATAAATATGGAGGATGGATTCAGTCTTGTTCCTACTGGTATACACTATTATTATTATTATTTATTATCATTATTATTATTATACATGTACAGATATTGGACGTTTGATGGCAAGATATTACGTTGCTTTTGAGTCAATGAAGAGATTCCTTGGATTAAAAGGAAGCGAAACACTTGGAGAACTTGTAAAAAAATAAAAGTTTGTCAATTTCTTTTAATGAAAATGTCTTCAGGTCGAGGAGTTGTCGAAATGCGAAGAGTTTCAAGACGTTAGGCTGAGAATGAATGAGAAAAGAATATTGAATCAGTTGAATAAAGATAAGCACAGGATCACCATCAGGTAAAGTTAACATCAAAGAGCATACAGTCCTTCACTATATACACTACAGGTACCCAATGAATGGAAGGATCAAATCAACTGATATGAAAGTCAATTGGTACACAATGCATTGATTCTTCACCACTAATAATAGAATGCCACTAGTACATCTATACAATGACAGAATAGGACCAGCATCATGATAAAATTTAATCTACAATGCTATAGATGTACATATGTGTATAATATATGTGGGTATAGCACACTTGAATTTAGCATTCTGTATAATACTTTTTACTGTGTTTTTCTCTGTCTCTCAGTTTATTGCAAGCTACTCTTGGCTGTCTCCAGATAACAGAGTTCTCCCTCAATCAGGACACACAGAAGATATTCAGATCAGCCTCGCGTCTTTGCAGATGTAAAGAAATAATAATAAAAATAATCATAATAATACTGTAGGTTACATGGAGCTAGTACTGTTAGGTACCAACTATACTGCACTAGTTAATGGGGTTACTTTACATAAGTGTATTCAGGCCAGGTATATTTTTACAGTGTTCATTATTATTATTATTATTATTATTATTATTATTATTATTATTATTATTATGCTTCTCTTTTAGGCTATGGGAAGATTCCAAATACGTTGTTAAACAGCTTGATAAAATAGGTGAGGCACGAATTGATTATAATAATATGAGATTTCTCTCTTTGTCTCTCTCTAGGTCTTGCATTAAGCACGACTTTGGTGAATGCTGGCATTACATCCTTCAACAAGTTATTGGAGAAGAACCCAAGGGAGCTAGAACTCATAGTAAATCGTCATCCTCCTTTTGGAAACCAGGTACATGTGTATCTGATAACGTTTCTTCCTATAAGTACCTGTACTGTATAGGTGAGAGAGGCTGCTTCAAAGTTACCTAGCTATTCAATAAACATTGAACAAATTCAGGTATTGGATTTAATTGAATGTACATATACATTTAATACTTTAAAATTTGTTTCTCATTTTTTTCTTACTGCTTTTTTTATACTATGCATGTACATGCATATGTACATGTAGTCTTCGTCAGTTAGACATTCAGAGGTAGAGATATTAGTGACTTTATTGCTGGTCAATCACCAAATACTGAGAGACACTGGATCCACTTCAGGTCCTAGTCATACCTCACTGCTATTGATAGGGAATGAGTCTAATGAGATCTTATTAAAGCAGAAAATAATGTGAATTATAATATTAAATGTATACATATGCATATTTTATACCTTCATCATCAGTGATTCTCAGTTATTATCAACTGGAAGTTGGACTAAAAGATTGACAGTATCAGAGTCAAGAAAAGGGCCTAAGTTAAAGGTATCATGCATCAGTATGGAATACGGTTAGTGCAAAGGAATAATCTCTTTCATTCATCTTTTATGATTTCTCTTTCTCTCCTCTAGTGGGTATTGATGCTCATAAAGATTTCATCCCAACTTACTCTAGGCCATTATTTAACACAGTTTCACAGCATGGAGGAATCGAACCAAAGGAAGAAGTATGATTATAATCATGACTATAATTTTATGACTTATTTTGTCCATTTTAGCCTCAGGCATCATTAAATGTAACCAATACTAAGTCCAAAGGTATTCATTGCATTCTATTATTATGATGATTATGTTTTTATCAGGCAAAAGTGGCCCCAAGAGCCGACAGAAACTCTGCAATCATCGCTGCATTAACAAAGCAGTGTATCCAATGAATTAATAGCCTAATTCTATGTAAATTGTATTGCCCCCCCCTCCCTTTACTTTCCTTAATAATAATAATAATATTTAAAAGATGTGGACATGATTGTTGCAAGTATGGTGTAAATACAAATAGCAATGGAAATATAACAGTAAGTGCAATTGTATAATCTTCAATTATTATTTTGTATATGTGCTGTATTAGGATGCTTGTAGTACAAGTGTGCCTTCAAGCTCACTACAAGTGGGTACTCCAATGAAAAGGAAGCAAAAAGCAGGAGAAATGGCCGAACATGTTAGTGATTTGCGTAATCGCATGTCAAGTATTCCACCCACTCCTGGAGTGAAGAGACTAAAAGTAACGAGCTCTAATTACAGGGACTACCTCAGTCCCAGGGACAACATGAAAAGAGATTTCTCTTATGTGCCAAAGACTAAACTTCCTCCTTCTTTCTCTCTCTCTTTTCCTGGCCCATCTTCATATGATGACTCTGGTCCATTACAGAGAGAGAGAGAAAGAGGAGAAGTAATTGTTGAAAGAGATTCCGAGGAAGACAGTGTCTCATTTTATGATCCAGATCTCTTTACCATGTACGATGATTTCTCTGATGACGATTTCTCTCCTCCTCCTCTCCCTCCTTCTCTTCCAAAACTCGGTCCACTCAAAATACCAGCGCAATTGGAACCAGTTCCTACTTTACAGCAACCGGGACCATCAACATGGCAACCAGTGTCGCCACCATGGCAACCAGATGTAACACCTTCAGATTATGACACTAACTTGAAAGTTAGTTATTCATGTTCTAATGTTAATGGTATTCCTTTTACTGGCTATGTATGTATTAATGTATTAGGGTAGCAAAACGTTTGATAAAGAAGTCAAAACTAAGAGACCGTCTTGTCAGAGGAATATCTTGCATGAATTGAATTACGTGAGTTCTGGAATGGACAAAAAAGTTTCTCCACCAACCTCCTCCTCCTCTTCTAATCTTCTACCATTCTTCACTTCTTCAGCCAAAAAGTAAACTCAACATACATTAATACATATATACATGTACATACACATTACATTATGCACACATATATGCACATTATACTTCATTTCTTAAGTTGGTTTCTCAATATGACGCATTGCTTTTCATGCGCTAGCATCATGACCAGAAGTGCTGTATAAACCAATGGGTGTATGCGTCAAGGCGTCAGAATAGAAATGTTTTCTAATCTGATGCATTGACGCATGTTCCCATTGGTTTATACAACACTTCTGGTCATGATGGACGCACATGCGTCATATTGAGAATCCACCTTTATACAGCAACTCACAGACTGATGAAAATGATGTTTTTGGTGAAGTATTTGATGGCTTATTCTGACTGGCTCAGATTGACATGTAACTCTCCATTTAACTTCACTATACTCATTAAAAATAATAAATAATAATAAATTCAATAATACTTATAATGTGCATTATACAGCTATACTGTATGTAATAATAACACAAATTTTTAAAGACAACAATAGTTCTTGTATTATAAACAAAATTAAATTAATAATAAATATAATAATGGCTTTAAAGTGTTGTTTTAACGAACTGCATTATAATTGATGAATAATAATTATAATTTTGTATTATGAGAGATGGTAGTCATGACAGTGATTCTATAGTTCTAAGTGACTGTCTTTGACTTGGTTGATTTTAGCAATCAAGTCACTTTTCTCTAAACAGCCTTTGCAGTGCTCGCCCCAACCTGTTAGGATCTTTTTAAGTTTTTTTACTGGAAGAGTCCACAAATCTATGTTGCTGATATCAATCTTCTCTTCTGTAGAATGAGAAGGAAGTAAAAAAGGAAATATTTTAATTGGCACATCGTAAACAAAGCAACCACAAAATGATTAACACTTTTAGAATGTCCCTCTTAATTTCCCTCTACCTTCTATACTTACCGTATTTCAATTCACATATCTGGGTGTCCTTCTTTTTTAAGTCCTTGCATATCTTTTCAACAGGTTTGCCATATGATAAAGGTTTGGTTACTTGCCCAATGATTCTGGTAGCTGAAGTCTCTGAAGCACCAATGTAATAACACTAAAGGAAAGAATAATGAATGATTTTCCTCTGTTCATATTAAAATGGACTTACAAAGCTGTCTTCTTTTCCTTTCAACGTCTTGCAAAACTTTATGAGAGCAGCTTCCGACTTTTCCATGTCTTCTACATCTTTACCGGCGTATTCTTGAAACTTGGTTAACACACCAACACAAACTAGAGTTTGAAAGGAAGAGAAAGATCTAAAAATGAAAAGTAATCAAACCTACCTGGACAATCGGAAGTTGCTTCTATGTACGAAACTGCTACAGCCAAGCACAGTAAAACAAGAGGACCTTTCATGATGACTGTCAGCTTCCACTAACTCCTTTAGCGTCTATAAATTTGTAATAAGTGAAGATCTTGTGACTGTCACAATCTCCTACAGTGGATTTATATTCCATTGCTACTCGACACATGTCTCAATGTGATTGGTCAGAGTCATCATGACACTGGGCAAAAAAAAGAAAAAATCAGGTCCGACCGAGATTTGAACTCGGATCTTGGGATTCAGAGTCCCAGGTGCTAACCGTTACACCATCGGACCACGCACGAGAGCTGAGGGCACACAATTTAGTATAATTCACTACATGTTAAGACAGTATAGTTTGTAATGCAGTAGTGTCAACGAGGGAGTCTTGTAATGGCGCAAAAACGTCAAAGGTCTTTCTCCCAGGAGGTGCCTTTGATGGAATAGGTAGTTCTGAATGATGAGCAGGGAGTGGAGGAGTAAAGAAATAGGAATGAAGAAGTGCCTGGAAAAAAATAATAATACAAATATTTTTGATTAGAAACGGATTATATACTTTAGCTGCAGAGAGCCTGTGCCTTGAATCATACACTAAAAAAGACTTGAGCAAATCCACCGCCTTGATAATGAAAGAGAAACATGTTAAAAAATCAAACAAATGCAGCAAAAAAACTTACCTCGGGGAGTGCATCTGGAACAACAACCTCCATTGGAGTGGGGGACATCTCTGAAAACGATATCTTGTGATAATCAGGAAGTTGACTCATTCCCTTTATAAAAATGTTAAAGTTTGCTATAAAGTATAGCAGTTACAATAATTCTTGCTTACCGGCCATATTCTTTCACTTGGAGTTCCAAGTATCCTTAGTACACAGCATAGCTGGTCTATGTCATTCTCGCCCTAAACAGTTCAAGAATTATGATGCATACAAATACTGTATAACTATATAAATGGCTGCACATTGCTGCTAACAAATGCTGCTTGCACTCACAGGAAATAAAGGAGAAGTATTTAATAGCTCACCAAATATGCAGCCAACTGCCCTAGAGTAATATCGTTTATAAAATGATAATATTTTAATTACATTTTTAGTTTCATACCACATGTCTATGCCAGTGTCATACTGCCTTGCTCCGTATAATAATTCAGGAGCTCTGTACCACCTGATAGAAGACAGACATGGGAAGAGAAAGAAAGAGAATGGCCTTACCTTGTGGCCACTTGATGGCTATAGAGTCTACCTAGTTCAGTTGATAGAACACGAGCTAAGCCAAAATCAGCAATTTTGAGGTGACCTGTTTGACTTATGAGGAGATTAGCAGGTTTTAAATCCTAACTCAAGAAAATTTTTTATTTTTTATTTTTCTTGCACAACTCACCCTGTGCATTATTTTGTTGTCATGGAGATAAGCCACGCCTTTCAGAAGCATCGTCATGTAACTCTTTACTTGCGCCTGAAATAAAAAAAGCATCAGTATAAATTATTTATTATGGTTACATAGCATAAAAAATCAAATAATCTTTTACTTCAGTTAGTGGCTTTTCGGCATTTCTAATAACCTCAGCAAGATCAGAGAGCATGTAATCAAAGACCAGTACAAATCCAGGACCATGAGGAAACATGTCACGTAGACAGATAACCTATTGATAAGAAAAATTAATAACGATAATTAAAACATTTTTCATTATTATTTTTGCTATAGCAACAAGCTCCACCCAAGAATGCAACACTTACATGATGATTTTCTCCACTTTCTTGAAGTGCCTTGATTTCCCTGAGAATTTTGAAGCTATAAAAAAGAGAAGGACTTTTAAACTCATAATGATACCTCAGAGCAGAATTTGGTATTCCATCAGCTGGTTTCTTCAAGTGGACCCTTTTCAGGGCAACCAGATCACCTGTCTGGAGAAACAAACAAATAAAAATGTATATAATCTACTTACTTGTGTGTGTCTGGCTTTTAGAACAACTCCATGAGCTCCTTCTCCTATCCTTCCAAGGATTTTGTAATTCTCCATTGGCAACAAATTTTCAGGAGGGGTCTTGGACCTAATTAAGGCTAATTTACTAAACCTAATTCCGTATATTGTAGTACACTGCCAGGTTAAAATGGACACTCAAAGCTGCGCTGTTGAGGCCTTACTCAACTGAAGGGGAATTAGAATTTATCTTTCTATTTCTCCTAGTGATTATAAAGTGTAAGTTTTCAAGCTGAAGCAGCTGTGTCCTCAACCTTGGCTACTACTACTACACCACTTTATTTTATTTCTTTTATTTTTATTATTTTAAAAAATTCCCTGTGATGAGTAAAGGCGAATATGAATGTAAACAACTTTTTAAATATAAAAAGTTTTACATAAAAATGATAAGAAAATACACTCTGAGGGAAAAAAAGACAATAATCACTATAAATATAAATTAATAATTATAATAAGTATTAATCACATGCCAGTACTTCCATTTCCAGGAAAGTAACTTGTGACACGCCCCCATATTCCGCCACCTCTGCCTTCATTCCTTGCTGGTTCATGATGACTAGGATTAAGTGGTATAGCAGCGTCGTACACTTTTAAAAATATTTCCCTAATTTTTAGTAATTGTTCTCCTCTGTTATGCTTTAATTCGGTGCCAGTAATGGGTGTAGTTGTGGGTGGAGCCAAATTAAAAGAGAAATCGTCTGAAGTGATGTGTTGAAGGAAATCAAAACAGAAATATAAGACCTAAGATAAAATAATAAAATGGGTTCGATCCATTAAGTAGAAATAATTATAAAAATGGACTAGCTAAGTTTGGCAGAAAATTGGTTTGAGATCATGTACTATACCGGTAGTACAGGGATGTTAGCCTGATTTTTGAGCAACTTTAAAAATTCATTAAAAAATCTAATTTTGATTGAAATCAGCTCAAACTTTCTACACAACATAGGACCATGCATATGCATCAGAAAATAAAATAAAAATGGAGAATTCTCTCTTAGCCATTTTTGACAATATACCCTGTACTATAGTACAGGGTTTTTGACCAGATTTTGAATTAAAGAAATATAAAATTAGCTGACAAAAAGCTAAGCACTATGCCCCTAGAAACCCCAAGTACAGGGTATGGTACTGGTAGTAGTACTACTACTACACAATATTAAATATCAATAATTACTTCTTCATTTTTACGGAGCCTCTCCTCAAACTTGTGCCTAAAAAAGAAAGACAACACTATATAATTTATCAAGAACATACACAATATGCTTAATAGTACAGCAGCTTATAAAAATACTTACCCAAACATGAACCAATCGTAAGCTAGTGTAAGATACAGCATCTCTATAGGACAAAGTGATTTATGGATATGGCCATCCTAAAAAAAAGAGAGAAAAGAAGTGTTCTTAATTCAAAGACTGCATTAACTTGCATAATTATGCAAGTTTGTAATTAAGATTGCAGGGTTTCCAGCTAATTATGCAGGGTTTCCAATCTTATGTAATTTATATATATATAATATTTAAGACTTACTGCCCACAGTGATAATCTTAATAATGATATATAGAGGGGGGTCCTGTCCCAGCCTGCAACACAGTGTATTAATATGCCACCTTCCTCTAGTGAAGGAATGAAGAGAATTCATTAAGAATACACTTAGTATACCATATTGGAGGTAATGCAATAGGAGCTTAATGTAGTTCTGAGTATGTTGAATAATATTCCATGACTGAAGAAAATGAGAGAGAGGGGGAAAGAATAAAATTGGTTAGGAATTCGATATACTTTACTTTGTATTTTGTAAAATCAATTCCAACAGATTCAGGCAATGGACTGGGTACGTTAATGACTGCATCATTTGATGGCTAATAACAATTAATAAAAATTATTAATAAATTAATAATAATTAATAATAATAATATTAATATTACCATGCTCCAGTCATAACGAACTGATCCAATGGAGTCCTTATTCTGCCTGTAATGTACAAAGAACTCGCAGCCTATGGAGGGAAAAGTCACATGATAGTCATGTGACAAATAGATGCTTCATCTTGTGACTTACCTGGATATGGTAGTGAAGCAATGGTGAATTGTGAGTACCACAATCTGCCATCAGCTTTTTCTGATGATGTTAAACTAATAAGATATAAATTGCAAGAAATATAATATAATATAAAATGAGAACTCACGTCAGTCCATATGATGTTTTTCTCATCTCAACCATCAGATCACATATCAGTGTTACTCCTAACGCAGTGATCAACTGTGAGTCAAACTCTCTAGCTTGATCAACCAACGCCCACTCACTTGACAAGACAACATAATAACAAGTGTCTATAACAGGACAAACTTACGATAATCTCTTTTCTTTTGGTTGAAGGACTTCTTCGGGTTCTTTGCTTCCACCACTCTTTCCTTTACCTTAAATTAATTAATTGTGTGGGTGTAAGCTGAAACCATGGCAGTTAAAAATTAGTTTGCTTTATGCAAAAGAAGATGCTTAAAATTTTTATCCATTTATTGAATTGTTATTAATAGTGCTAGATACATTCCATTATTAGTAACTTGATACTATCATTGGAATAGAGTCAATGGGTTAGCTTGTGTTGTTATTCTTATTATAATCACAACAGTTGTTTTTCATGATCATGGATTCATGGTATATATATGTATCATCACAGCATTACTTATTAGTACTTACCAGAGAATACCCAGTCCAGGCCTGATCTACCATAAAGCTCCATGGCAGTCGAGAGTGTGGAGGAGCGACAAATATTCTATAATAAAGATTAAATATAAGTCCATGCAAGAGCTTTTAAATGAGAAGAATTAAGGTCATTTTGAAGTCATTTTTCTTTGAAAATTAATGTACTTTTTGAGGCAGCCATCACAATAGAATTGTTATCAGAATAGGCTTAGAATTTCTATATAGCATAAGGATGTACTTATGCAATAGAAAAAGTAGTAAAATAACTTTTAAAATTCCATTTTTAGCTATAGTCCATGGAATTAGGGCAATGCATTCATTTCCTCCATTTGCTATTCATTACATACATGCCTTGTTGCCTATTAGTATGACAGGTACAGGAAACCTTGAGAGAGACCGAGCTAGTTTCGATACTTTAAAGAACTCTTTGAGACGACCGGCATTATTAACAATATCCTTACTGAGGAGGAAAGAAAAAGAGAAAAGAAACGAGTAAAAAGAGAGCAAAGGAAGTAGAAGAGAGAAATAAAGAAAGGACGAAGGAAGATAGAAAGAGATGAGGAAGTAATATTTTGTCTACTCACTCTTCCTCCCTCTTGGCAATTATCATGAGATGGGTTGGGTAATGAGGACAAAGATTTCCATCACTATTATCCACTGTCTAGAAAGAATAAAAGGATATTAGCAGTTGTTGGTGTATTGATATACTTCAATGAAGTAATCTCTGGCTAAAAGATGAAGTGACATTTTTTCAACAATCTGAAACTAGATATAAAAAAGATGAGAGTTAATAAAAACAAAAATTAATGAGCTCACGTTTCTTTCATTGCTGCTTGCTTTGTAGCCATGAGAAGAGAAGAATCCTATTAATTCCTGCAAACACTCACATGTCACCACACTACATTCTTTGGCCATAATCGCCTTAAAAGAAAAGAATTAAAAATAAAGAAATTTTTATTCTCGCCCCGCCCCTTAGAAAGATTTTTTAAAATTAATAGTCTGTTATAAAAATTAATTAATAGGTACTTCTTCGCAGTTCGCACAGGCTACCGGCAGCAATTAGATACAAGAGTCAGGTTAAATCTAATAATCAGACCCACGCTAGCTGAGGAAATATGGCTTCACTTAAGGGTAAGCCTAAACTGACTCATCATCTAGCTGTATGATTGCATCATGGGCCCGCGGTAGCCTAACCGTAGGGTTAGGCCGCAACCCCACTTTTCAGTCTGCAGACCACTCGACCACTGATATTTGTAGTCTTGCATATTGAACCAGTTCTGAGCCTGATTGTAAAATCTTCATGGCCTAACTAATTTCTGTGATTTTAATGAAAATTGGATATTTGTAAATAGAATTTTGTGAATTAAGCAATTTTCTAAATTAAGCAGCTATTACAATGGTGGCAGGTAGTTTTCATGACTATTAAAATTTTATGAAAATCAGAAAAATTTTAGACTACAGAAATTTGGAGCTAGTTTTGCAAGCTATATAAGATCTATCTGTGAAAATTATATACGGCAAGACTGATTTGTAAAATTTAGCAATTTGAAAATACCTCAGTATACCCTTGGTATTTGCAAAGCCTTGGTCATAGCAGTCCTGGTATGGCTTCCATTTTTATAGATAATGCACAATTAACATCTATGATTTAGTGATATAGTGAAGTAAGTGATATAGTAAAGTAATATCAACAAACAATCAGTTGATATAAAAACTGACAGCCAAGTGCAGCCAAGGTCACATTTAGCATCACATGCATGTTTATATTACCTCATAGATACCTATATACAAGATAGGCAAGATTTGTAACAAGATAACAGTAGAATAGGGTGATCCTATTAAGTGTTCTGCTCTTAAATGAATAGATTGGGCTTCTTGAGTAGTGCTATGCTATTGAATGAGAGTTTCATCAGAGATTTTCATTAATATTATTTCACTAAATCATGCAGGGTCCCCTTGAAAATGCTAAAATTTAAGAACGCAATTAATACTCCACCCTAAGGTACATCAGATTAAAATCAGATTACTTTATAGATGTCAATAATGCGATGTTTGCCATGAATAATTCCTCCTTTTTTAGGAATAATGAAAACGTTTCAAAAAATTTTTAACGAGGAAAAAATTCCAGCTGTTAACATTCACTTACTGGTTATTGGAAGAACGGGTCATGGGAAGTCTACCTTGATTAACAGCATCATTGAGCAATGCAAAGCAATATCACCCGAAGGAGCAAGACGTAATTCATGCACTACAAAGTCAAGATCGTTTACTTACCATGACGTGATTCCAGGCATTAACGTCACACTAATTGATTCTCCTGGTCTACAACATGCTAATGGAGATGAGCAAAAATACCTACAAGAATTAAAAAGTGAATGTAAGGAAGTCAGTTTGGTTCTATATTGTACAAATATGAAAGAGTTCCGAGATACCAAAGATGACAAAGTTGCGATACGAAAGTTACACCAAGTGTTTGGTTCTAATTTCTGGAAGAGAGTAGTGTTTGTCCTCACTTTTGCTAACGAGGAAAATTGTGGACGGAGGGATGACAGAGATACAGCAGTTGATCCCCCTAAGCTTCCACCTCCTGGAGATAAAGAATGGGAAAATTTGAAGAGAAAACGATTTATAAATCGAGTTAGTTTATTCAAAGAAGAAATAAATGATTTCATGAAGGAGTGTTTGGACATTCATGAACATTTTGAAGCTGTTCCTGCTGGTTGCTACCAAAAAAATGAGGATTCCAAGGATCATGATCCGATGAAGCTTCCTGATCGAGAGGACTGGTTGTATGACGTTCTTAAATTATCCATTGAACAAATCAAGATCAAACACAAATTTTCAATGCTGAGATTAGATAACAGTAAGCTATAATTGGAGTGACATGATAATTTTGTTTATTCACTTTAGAAATAAATTTTGCTATCATCATTGATAATCGTGGATCCATAGAGGTGGAAGATAATTCTATAAAAATATTGAGTCAAGAAGCACGTTCATTAAAAGAAGCTCTAGAAGGTCTTGGTTTTTTTGTCCTTTACTTCAATAAGCTTACTGCTCAATCAATAATCTGTTTGCTTCAATCATTTCAGAAAAATTTTGACCATTCACAATTGTCAACATTTGCTCTAGCCTTTCTCAGCAGTAAAGAAACAAGCTCAATGCTTTTTAATGTGAATAATGAAGGCTTCTCTTATGAAAAAATTTTCAGTTTTTTTCCTGCTGAGGCTTTCACAAATGATTTACAATCACTTGCAGAAGTTCCAAAAATTATTATTTTTGATTTAGCCTACAATCAAGATAAAAAATTTTTTTTGCCTCAATGTCCTTTTAACTCAATTGTTCTTGCAGCTACGAGTACTATTTCAACCTTTTCTCCAACAATAAAGTCATTTGTGAACAATATAAGTTATGAAAAAGTTGAGAAATGCTTTGAAAATATGAAAAAAGAATTGGGATCTTCCTGCAATGTAGTCAAGCAATCATTGCAAGATAATTTATTTATAAAACAAGCAGCCAGTGAAATGTAAGTCAATGAAACATAAATATTATTATTATTGATTTTTAATATAAAGGAATGAGAAGCAAGTACATGATCTGCTTTGTTCTATGTGGCGTCCAATTCGTTGCTCAACAATCAATGAGTTAATGAAAATTAAAGATGAGGTTGTTTCAGTTGTTTTAAAAGAAAGGGCAACTAAAATAACTACTACTACTTCAGGTTTGGCAATTGGAGGTTCTATGATGATGGTTGGGTTAATTCTTACTCCTTTTACTTTTGGTGCATCTCTTGGATTAACAGCTGCAGGTGCTGGAGTAAGTATAGCTACTACCATTAGTGGAACTGCTGCATCAGCCATTTCTACTGCAATGGAGAATAAAAAATTAAAGCTAGCTCAAGAGCACATCATGTTTGACACACAGCTTAGTTTAGCCATCAATGAATTTAAAATGAAAGTGAAGAAAAATTCAGACAAAAAAGTAGCACTTGCAGTAGCAGTTGGTACTCATCTTTTCAGTAATTTTGGCCACATTGGAGTGCGTGTAGTTACAGCTGGAGTGGAAGCTGGAATTAATGCAGGTTCAACTGCATTACGTGCTGGGGGAGCAGTAGCTGGTGGAGCCTCATTAGCTGTTACTCTACCTATTGATATTGGCTTCATTGCACATTATGGTTATCAGTTGTGGCAGTTAAAGAAAGACAAATCTGGAAAGTCTGACAAGAATGAAGTCATTCAATGGCTATTTGGTCAAGTTGAAGAGCTACTAAAAAGTTAGTGTTTGCAATAATGTCATTGTTTACTTGTGTATAATTTTAGGAACTAGTGATGTAATTGACACTACAAGGCATCAAATTAAAGATGAGCAGCGCCTTGTCCATAGTAACCTATCTGTTGGTTATAGCATCGAGGTACCTCTCACAACAAAGGACGAGTCATCCATTATAGTCCGTACTATATTTTCTGGTCCATTTAAATTGCCAGAAGGCTATACATTGGTCAGTGCAATATATGATGTTACAATAGAAAAAGAGCTAAAGGAGCCTGTCACTATTTACCTCCAGCATTGTGTTAGGGTCAATAACCAATTACTACAAAAAAAGATGCACTTTGCCAGAGCTACTATTAACTTTGAAGCCAAAATGTTCGATTTTGAAGTCGTTGAAGATGGTACATTTCTTACTGGTGAGAATAGAGGATCATTGAAAATCATGCCTAAAAAAGATTGTTTGAATTACATCTTGTGTGTTCTATTTGAAGGAACATCGTAAGTTTTACAGCCTATAATTTACATGCAAATTACATTTCATTCAATAGGCAAGATACATCAATGAAGTATGCTGCTCAATATTCTTACACAAGACATTACAAAAATTTCTGGAGCCTAAGTATAATATTTGAAAAAGACCTCAGCGCTCACCAAAAGGTATATAATTATAAACTAAATGACTATTACATTATGATCAATCAGTTTACTCAGGCTGGATATTATAACCAATTTGCATTTGTAAGAACTGATGGATCAGATGATCTTGCATTGAAAAATATTTCAGATGCCATTGAAAAAAATGGATGGAAGATATCTCCTAGTGATGAAAACCTACTTACTGTAAGTTTTAGCTCTCATGCATATAATAATTATTGTGTATATTATATATTATGTATAGATAACAAAAGGAGAAATTGATGAAGCACATACAAAAAAGCTTAATAAAAAGCTTAATAAAAAGTTTAATTTCCCTTCAATTAATTTGAATGTTTATGTACACAATGAAAATGATGTTGTTGATGAATTAGTACATCCATTAAAATTTCAAGGAACCAATTTAGAGATTTGCGTGAAGCGTCAGAAAGAAAAAAGTAATTCTTCCAATTGCAAAATGAATATTTAATATTTGTCACAGGTAAATTCATGGCTCTTGATGTAAGTGAATATCCACTTCAAATAGAGCAAGATACAGAATTTGTAAACCCACGGTGTGGATATCAAATTCATCTTCCAACCTGCAGAGACAATGGTACTTGTGTGACTGTCAGGACAATAATATCAGGTCCATTTGTCCTACCAAGTGGTTACAGTTTAGCCAGTGCAGCATATGAAATCACAATGCCACAGCTAGCACAACCTGTTATCATTGAAGTGGAGCACTGTGTCAATGTGAATGATGATGATTCAGTGAAGCAAAATATGTGCTTTGCTACTGCCACTATTGATATGCAAACTCAGAAATTTGAGTTTATCCCTTTTGAGGGGGCTTCACCCAGCATAACCAATGAAAGTGCAACAATCACTGTCAATGATAGTTGTCTCGTGTGCATACTTTATCAAGAATCCAAGTAAGCATAGCATCACACACTATTAGTATCCTTTATGATTACATTATAGAAATATTGAGACTACTGCAAAAAAGTATTCAGCACAATGGACTTATAAGAAAACAGGCCACAATTCTTGGAATTTAAACATCAGATTCACTAAATATCTTTCAGCTCATGATCACCGTAGGGTTAGTAAAATAATTGTCCTATCTGCATGATCCAATTTCCCATGCATATGTAGCATATTAAGAGTGAACATCAACAATCTTTTGTATTTAAGAAACCAACTAATGATTATCCATTGCATCTTGAGCTGGATAGCATTCTCAGTGCTGATAGAACTGCAGAGATGGCCGGATGGGCAATAACAGCTTGTGATGACACTCCTACTCCTGTTGCTGTTAGTTGGAAAAATTATTACAAATGTATTTTTATTGATTATTGCACAGATAACAAAGGAGGAAATAGATGGTATTGAATTAGCCAATAAAATGGCAAATTTCCCATCAATCAATTTACAAGTTTGTGTGAAAGATAAAGAAACAGCAATTGATGAACTGGATAAGACTTTTATGATCAATGGAACAGACTTAGAGATAGTTATTAATCGTAAAAAAGAAGTAGAAGTAGTGTAGGAACTTTTTATAAAACAAAATGATTTACTGTTAGAGTGTGTAGTACTAATTATTATTTTTATACTTTTGTGCTAATTTTGCAAATTAAAAAAAAATTATTTAGAATAGAGTGAAAAGTCAAGCACGATTTATAAAAATTCATCAAAATAATTATTTTAGTAATTTATTTAATTACAATGGAAATGCAATGAGCATTTATTCCTCTTACATTCCCACATTGCATCATTGATTATTTGTATAGTACATCAGGTTAGAGTATGTATTTTACCCATCAAATATACACCATCTATTAATAAACATGTAATAAAAACAAACAAAGATAGATAGAAAGATATTAATAAATGATTATTAAAAAAATAAAGTGTGTCCCCACTCGGTCATTTCTGCTTTGATTTGATTGAAGATGGGCTGTCACTGATTATCAATTTTAGCTTTGCGACGATTTTCTCTATTAAATTTTATAACACAAAAAATATAGGACCCATACTTTCAACAATAATTCTTACTAGTTATATTGTGTGGTGCCTCAAAATCTATATTTTTGACGCTTCCTTCTTTAGTAAGTCTTACTATTCTGAAGACAGCATTTGGCGGCTTCTCTTCCAAAATGTCCACGCTCGATATTTCATTAATGTCATATTTCATCTTCAAGAGAGGACAAATGAAAAGAGAAGGGACAAGTAAGGGTAGAGAGAGGAAACAAGGAGAAGTAAAAGAAAGACAGAAAAGACTTGTAGGAGGATCAAGGAGGAAGGAGAGAGACTAACAGGTTTTAAAGGTTTAGCAAGAAAGCCTTTCAGCGACTCTATAGGTTGGATCTCAACTCTCTCCCTCTGTGGATCAATACCTATTACAATGTGTGTGGACATTATACATACAGGGTTTCCAAAAGGAGTTTGGCATAGTGCTATAAATTTTATTATAAATTTTAGATTTTACTTGCTCCATATTGCATGCTTTATTGAAAACCCTAAATACATTGGTACTTGTACTGTATACATTACATTGTACTGTATGTAGACACCACCATATTTAAATGATAGCTACATGTAGTTCTATGCACAAACAAACTAACCTAGCTGTACTCTTGTATTTGATCGCATTCTGTGTAGCATTGTGACACTAAAAGACTGTAGAAGTTTTTAAAAATTATCATAAAAAGCAGGTCCTCCTTTCTTACCGTGTAAAGATGACTAGTTACCTCAGTCCCAACATCAGGAGAATCTACATCATCCTCTACTGATGAAGAAGGAGTGTGTCCCTGACCTATAGTTACAAGATATGGTCACATGATAGTCACATGACTGATAGCCTCACGTGTGTTTCTGACTAGCATGAAGTCCAGTGTCCCTTGACTGGAAAGTGAGCTCCTGAGGTTTATAAACTCACCAGGGGAGTCCTTCTTTTCTAGTTCATAGCCTAAAAAAATGTGGAGAGAAGGAAGAAAAAGAGAAGAGAGAGAGAGAGAGAAAGAGAGAGAGAGAGAGACAAGAAAGAAAAAGAGAAATGAAAATGAAGTATTATCATCTAACCGTGTATCTGAAGTCTCCTTTTTCTAATAACTCTTGCTAGTATCTCGCTCATTTCAACATCGTCTTCGCTAATGGCTATTGTAGAGAACCCACCATTTTCGTAATACCTGCAAGTACAACAATAAATGACATGACAGGCACATGAAGCTACATTTACTCACACTTTGACTATCTTATATTTGGCAGGTACATCTTCAATTTTGACATCGTCTGGATTTGATCTCTAAAAGGATACAGAAACCATAAATATGTCACTTTGTTTTGAAACACATGTCTAGGTTTATTATTATTATAAAATAAATTATTATCACTCTTATGAAAATAAACACCGACAGGATCATACAGCCTCATCAGGAGTGTATATCTTTATAACAAGTGGAGCTACAGACACTGAAACTTAGTTAATATATACATGTAGTTTATATTCTTAGCTGTACTATAGTTTACACTGTAGATACAGGTAGCAGGTAGAAATTCTGATATTAAGCCCAACATACACTACTACATTCAACAATGCTGCTTTCAACATTTGCCAAGCCTTTGATTATGCTTTCATGTGGTCAAGCATAATCTTGCCTTGAATAGAAAACCTTTCTATTTGTATGACATGCTTTACATTGTAAGTTAATGCATCATTGAACATACAGGTAGCTATACTGTCATAACATGTCATTTTATCAAAGAGATTCAGTCTATAGTAAGTACTATAGAATACTCATTGTATATTTATGGATAGGTTTTGTGATTAAGTTATGCATAGTAAAAGATCACATGAGCATGATTGGATCATTAATAACTGATTTAATTATTTACTTCAACAATCCCAAGGTATTTGAAGCCAAACTTTGAAATGTAGTCATCTCCTTGTAGCTCAGGAAGATCAGTATCAATCTCTCCGTCGTCATCAGCTATCATTACTGCATAACTCTCAATCCCTTTCTGTTGGAAAGGAAAGGGGAGAAGAGAGAGGGAGAATAGAGAGAGTAATAGATGAAGGTCATTAACACTTTACCAAGTAGAAAGGTTTTCTTCCTTCTTCGTAATATTTCCAAAACGTCACACCTACAAGATCCTGAATTGTAGCAGTATCTGAGAGAGAGAGAGAGGGAGGGATAAAGAGAGAGAAAGATTTAAAGTTTTCCTTACGTAAAACTGTTACTTCCACAGGATAAAGTGGATCCTACATAATTTATAATAATTATTAATAAAATAAATAGCAGAGGCCAGGCCCACCTTTGCCATTGATAAAAACATTAAAAATTTATTCGATGAAGCTGGTCCATGATTCTAAAAAAGAAAATAATACTAAAATATTCAAAATATTTACACATTACCTCTCCGTTGAATTTACTATACTTATAAAAAGGATTAGATTTTTTCTTGTCTTGTTCAGCTAAAAGTTGCTTCAGGGGAGAGGGGCCAGTTGGGTGCGGTCTTATTGGTTGAGGAGCAAATAAACTTCTATCAACTGAGGGAGAGAGAGAGAGAGGAGGGAAGAAAGAAGGAAATAAAAGTTATAATTTAATTTGTAATGTCATAGATCTATTACCTAATTCTAAAGGTGTAATCTCCCACTGTACAGTTCTAACTCTGCTTGCCTTCTTCCTATAACAAGGACACACAATTACCCTCATATGTCACATGATTACCCTCATATGTCACATGACTATATTACATGATTACCCTCATTTCAAGCGACTTACTTTTCCATTATCTGAAACATGTCTGACGTGTTTTTAAGAGGTGGTCGTCTAGAGAGAGTGGGACTTGCTTGTATATCATACGACGCGGCCATGTTATTTGTACTACGCTTCTCAGCTTGCTTACTGAAGAGAAAAATAGAAAACTAAAGTCTCCCGTAAAAAATAAATTAATATTTAAAATATAAACAATACTACTTAGCCTCGAATTAGAGACTAAGAGCACAAAGGTAGGCTTGTCACAATACTTTAGTGTCTAGCTGCTTTTTCTTACTATCTTTGCTGCATTCTGAGGGATTTCTTCTGGTAAGAGTGGTCATTCTCGATCTCTTGTTCCACGTCCTCTTTAATCATAATCAATTCGCACATACCTGGGGATAGAGGAGGATTTTTAGAACCAGGGGGCTTGGTTGCTCTACCTGTATCATCGCTAGTCACAAAGGAGTGACGAATATGAGCCAGCAACATTTTCTTGTCGTCGAAGGCAGCCATTTTCAACCCCGAGTCATCCCCGTAAATTTCTCCGTATAAACCATCAGCTGCTTATTGACTGGATGAAACCGTATAACTCAGTAAAACATAATTTAATAAGTAAAAAAGTCCTTTCTTATATTAAAAACCCTCTGCATTTACTAGAGCCACAAAGACAGGGAACTCTTCCTTTCCCTCTGGTGTGGCCAGCCAGGTTATGGCTCATCTGGTAGTCAAAAGTCAATTCTTCTCCGGCCACAATGTCTTTCTTAGCAAACAATGCCAGCTGGGGTAGTCTTGTGTCCAGGGTATTTATCCATACGGAAAACACTTGAAGATTTGGACTACACTGTATCAAAGCGTGTGCAAAGAATAATGACAATGATAACGATTATAAAAGAATATATACTTTAGTTTATATTTAACATTTTCTTCTCCTTACCGAATGATTAAAAAAATGTGAAATGTTGCCACAGTGGCCAGCATCTATGGTAAACTCGGGATGATCCTCATCAAAATCCAGGTCAAAAAGATAAGTCGAGCCTTCTCTATCGTAAGTAACACCACGCCTCTCTGCCTCCTCTGTCGTTATCACCTCACCCACGTACTCCGTCACAAAGGTACCTCGTTTTAAATCGGAGCAGGTCTTCACGCCCCAGCCTCGCCCGTTCCTTGTCCGAAAAATACAAACGGGAAACTGTCTCCCAAACTGGACCACTCGATTGTAGCAAGTCGAGCTACAAGAGCACATAAAGTTACACTCGTATATCGGAGTCCCCCTAGCAGCTTTCATTCTCTTGTCCTTCGTATAGGCGGCCTTTTGTCCTGCTAGTTGAGGACAGCAATCCACCGATTCACTGCAATTAAGACAACTGCAGCCAACAAGGGCTGTGATGTTGGGGACAGGGACGTTAGTGCTGTATATGCTGCTAGTGATGTATTTAAAGTTGACCGGAGGTGGTTCGTTGTCGTAGAGGTTTTCAATGAAAATCGGAGCCTCGGAGCCGCGAGCGGAATTTAGGGACCCCTGCCATAGGAGGAGAATATTGTAATAGTAACTGTTGGGTGGAGCTATAGTGTTGACAGACTCAAGGGAGAAGACTGGGGTGGGAGTAACAGATCTTGAGGCTCTTTCATCTTTGGCCTTTAAAAGAAAGAAAAAAAGATCTACACATACAAGTATGTACTCAGTTCCACTTTACATACATATGTATAATATACACATCATACATGTACAGTGTCCATGTAAACATGTAAATGTACATGTACATGGTTGTTTAGAGACAAGTAGAGTTGAAAATATTCACGGGAATTTTGTGCTAACAAGTAAGGGTTTCCCACATAAGGATTATGGCATAGTGTTGCTGGATTCTTTCATAAACAAAAATTTGACAAAACACCCTGCACTATAGTACAGGGTATATCGCCAAAAATGGCCAGGAGAGAATTTGTTATTTTTATAATTTATTCTCATACATATAGATGCTCTTATGTTATATAGAAAGTTTGAGCTGATTCCGATCAAGTTTGGATTTTTTATGAATTTTTAAAGTTGCTCCAAAATTGGGCTAAAGTCCCTGTACTATAGTACAGGGACTTTGGCCAAATTTTGCCAAAATTGAAAAGGAGAGAATTCTCCATTTTTATAATTTATTCTGATACATATAGATGTACTTATGTTGTGTAGAAAGTTTTAGCTGATTCTAAACAAGTTTGGATTATTTTTATGAATTTCAATGTAACGACCATTTTGCTTATTAACAATAATCAATGTTATTTTTTATTCTTAACTCTAAGCTTTTGCAAATCTGTTATAATATGTACATTAATTGTTCTGCTCCGATGACTCACTGTTTCTGTATGATGAATACTATTAATCCTTGAGGTGGCTCGTCTTGTGATTGGAGGAGAGGTAGAGGAGCAATCAGAGGCTGCCGTTCCATTTAAAGTAGTAGTGTCATATTTCAATATTGGAGGGGGAGGATGGGGGAGTTTGATTTTATCATTCCTAATAAGAGAAATTGATGATTAGATTTATAAAACTATGCGAATTCCAAGTTTGTTGTATTTATATATAGCCTTTTAAAATTTATCAATGATGACTTAGTTCAGTACAACCAACTATTAAATAAAATATGATTCACATACTTTTGTGAGTTGAGATATGTATCAAGGACAATAGGTTTATCTTTATCATGTATCTGACAGTGAAGAAAAAAAAAAGAGAGAAGGAGAAAAACTATACATGATTAATTTTCTAAAACTTACAGACAGTGGGCAAGGAGAAGGAAGGCTAGGAAGCGAAGGGCAAGGTGAATCGATGGCAGGAGAATAAAGAAAACGAGAGAAGGATGGGAGGGGAGAAGAACCATCGGACAAAGAGGAGGAGGAAGGGGAGGGAGGGGGAGAGGGAGAGAAAGGAACGAGCAAAGGCGGAGTTGATGAGCCAGATTGTGAAGTAAAACAAACAAGGGATCCATCGAAATCCTCATCAGTCACCAATCTCCCGTCTTCATCTTCTATGATATGTATCTCCTCTCCCTTTGACTTCTCCGGCGAGGCTATGAATATCTTTGGAGGCGATAAAGACGGGCTACTACTATCCGTCTTGGAGACACGTTTTAGTTTAATACGAGGAGACGTTACCGGGTCAGACTCAACCACGTCCGTAATGACCCACGTATCTATCTCCTTCTCTTTGTCAACATCATCCTTGACCTTCTGATTTTTATTTTTCGACAACATTTTGCCCCAAGGTCCAGGGGTCGGCGAACGACGGAAGCGAGAGCGAGAGTCCGAATGACCATTGTCTATCGGCTGGAAGGCGTGGTTAGTCGACAAGGAGGACGTAGGGAGAGAGGAGAGGGCCGGAATGAGGAGCGGCTTTGGAGCGAGGTGCGAAGGAATGGAGGGAGAGGAGGAGCCGGAAGATGAACGTGACGAAATTACTGATCTTGATTGCGGAGGAGGATGGAAAGAAGCAAGAGATAGAGGGGCTAGAGGGATAGGTAAAGGGCGTGGTAAAGTGAGGGAGAGAGGTGGGGTAGGTTTTGTCTTTGTTAGAGTCGAATTGCAACTGTGGCTTAAAATCCTGGGGCGGTGAGAGTCGTTTAGTCCTGCTGGATATGTGGATATTCATAATATTTGGATAATTATTGTAAATTTTTACAGTGAGAATGAGAATAATTTTACTTTTATAATTCTTTTGTACAGTATGCCGGTCTATTAGCCTCTTTATTTCTTTCTTAGAGAGGAGACAGTTTATGGAAAAGCCCCGCTTCTTCCTCTTCCTCCGAACACCGTCCATTTTGGGCGTTAATTGGAAAGCTTAGAAACCAAAAACAGGCGCGAAACCAACTTTTTATTAATTACAGTAAAAAAATTAAAACAATGCAAAAAAATTAATACCTCTTGCGCATGCGCATTGGCCTAAGGCGGGCTTTGCTAAAATTTTAAATAATTATAAAAATTAATTATGCATCACACTGGCACAACACCAAAAGCTACATGTGTAAAAGTGTTCATTATAAAAGATTTTTCTTTCATTTTCTTTGCAAGTCAGTCCTGCATACCTTTCCAAGTATAGTCGAGCCAGAAGCACCTGTAACAGCTTTAAAAACAATTAATGTATTTCTGTTCATTTATGCTACTGAGTTGAACTCACATGGCAAGTGATTCTTGCATCCAGCTACAGCTTGATAAGCTAGAACAGCAAAACAAGCAGCCTGTACAAGAATCAATTCAAACTTTTCATAGTAACTTACTTCTTTAGCATCACAAGGAATGCCTAATTCATCAGTGCTAACTATTTTCACTGGCTTAAAACAATCTCTTAAACACCTCAAGGTGAAGACACAGTAGGCAAATTTTTAAATCATATAAAATTTTATAACAATACTGATAGAATCATTGACTTACTTCACTAATGCATTATTTCTGTATCCACCTCCACTCACAAACAGGTCAATATCAGACTCTGCCTGATCATTTAAAAGAGCTTGGACGTATTGCTTAAAGTTATAATGAACTGCACAAGCTGTGAATGCTGCAAAATTACATAAAAGCAAATAATTATAATATTATTATAAGCATATTTTTACCTGTGACAGTACTGATGCAATCTTTGTTGCTAATACTGTCATCTTTGCACTTCTTTACAATCTCATGGACGTAATCAGCATTGTATAACTATAGGACAAAATAAATGGAACACATTTAGCTCTCATCTTGTACTTCTCTCCCAGTAGATTTTGGTGGAGACCTTAAGACAAACTTGTCTTTCATTAGCCAAGACAAAAGACTGTCATTGATATTCCCTTCACTGGCTACAGTGCCATCTTGATCAAATTCCCTTCCATAGAAAATTTGCATTAAACTATCTATCAGGACATTGCCTGGTCCACAGTCAAACCCAATGCATTCCATATCTGTATCATTCATTCCTATATACATTTAATGCATGAGTCATTTTTAATTTTATTATACTAGCACCTTCATGAGGATTTCCAGAGAATATGTTACTAATTCCGCCAACATTCAAAAAAACTCCAACTCGTTTGGTTTCCATGAAATGCTGTTTGAGTAATATAAAATCAAGATATGGTACAAGAGGTGCTCCCTCTCCTCCTAAAGCCATATCGGCTGTTCTAAAATCCCCAACGGTAGTAACACCAGTGTGGTTTGCAATTATACTTGGATCACCAAGCTGCAATGAACCATTGATACTATGACCATAGAGCTGAACAGGATTAGGTAAATGAAGAACTGTTTGTCTATTAATTACAAAAAATATTTTACAAATATATAATTTATCATATACCCACCCATGAGACCCAATCACATATATGTCACTGCTTTTGATATGCAGTTTCTCCATCATTGCTTTTGCTGCATCAGAGAATAACCGACCGAGGAGAGAATGATAGAGACAAACATCTCTTGTTCTACCATTTATTCCAATATTCAGCAAGTCTTCTTTCAGCCCATGAGGATATGGAACTGTCATATAATCGACAACGGAAAAATCTACGACAAATTAACATTAGTATGAAATAAAATTTGCATCATGTACCAAGAATGTCGTCTCGTGACGAATCTGAAATATTTATTTTTATTATGCAAACATCAATGCCATCCATACTGGTTCCTGATATAAGACCCATTGCTAATCTGAATTTACACAAAGACCCCTCCATTTATAGATAATAGAGTAAATTCAAATTGAAATTATCTATGGGCTTAGAAAAAATTCCAAAAATATTAACTAGCCACCCCTTAAAAGTTATTAAAGTCAACCCATGAGCTGAGTTTAATGTTTTGTATAACTACCTCCTCCCATTCGTTGCAAGACAGCATTGCCACAGTCTTTCTATTATCGACCTTTTGCTTTTCTTCCCACTCCCTCTCTTGCTTGCTCTCAATAGAAAGCTTTGTATTGAGGGTCTCCTGCAAACAAACAAAATCTTTCTCTAGCAGAGACAGAGCAAAAGAGTGAGGAGAAATGGAGAGCGCACTGAGCGTGAGGGATAAAATTGGAGTCGAGGACTTTGTCCTACTGGAGGATTTTAGGAGCGAAGAAGCTTTTATGGAAAACCTGAGGAAGAGATTTAAAGAAAAGCTCATATATGTAAGGCAGATTTGAGCAATGCAACAATTAAATACTATATATATCTACCTCCTTTTAAAATGTCTTGTTTTCTTTGTTCAGACCTACATAGGTTCTGTCCTCGTTTCGGTTAATCCTTATCGCCAGTTGAATATATACGGGACAGAGACCATGGAGCAATATCGTGGAGTCGATTTCTATGAGCTACCACCACACATGTAAGAGAGACAGAGACGGGGGGATTAGTAATTTACACTTGAATATTGTAGGATGCAATATTAGCACTGTCCCATTTAACTTGTTACAAATATTTCCCCTTCCCCCAGTGTTAAATGCACCTGTATGGCATGCAAATCATGAAATACACCTGAAATGTATCAACTAGACTATACTATGATAGTATAGTATAAATATACACGTAATAGTAGCTTAAATAAATTAGCAGTATAATATAGCCTAATACTAAAGCCATACTGACTGGCTATATATGATACTATTGTAGCTTCCTGCCTATCCTCACCACAGTCCCCTACCTCATATTAAGTTGTGTTGGTACAAGGTAGCAGCTGTTTGAGGAAGGAGTTGAACATTGTGGTGGTGTAGTCAGACACATAAACAAGAATTAAAAACATTGCTATGATGCTGTATACAATGTGTGTGTAAAATACCCTGTATGTTTATGCTTATTTACAAGCTAATCTATTCGTCATATCTTCTGAAAGTTAAAAGGATGAAAGGTGATAAAATTTAGCGGCAGTTTCCGCGTTGATTAACTACTAGCTAACCGGATTCATCTGTTTATAGAGTTACTATGTTGATTTGTAAAATGTGACAGCCAAAAAATAATTTTTAAGAGAGAGAGAGAGTGTGTGTGTGTGTGTGTGTGAAAGGATAAAGTATTTCTTATTATTGCATGCTTTAGCAGGTAGGAAAATGAAACCATTTCTGTGATTAATACTATCTTAAATTTACATTGGATATAATTCTGTACACATGATCACACATACATGTACACATTTGTTCAAATACAGTGATCTTAATAATTATGTTTTGCTATATAGATTTGCTATCTCTGATACTGCTTATCGTGCTATGAGAGATGAAGGAAGAGACCAGTGTGTACTTATATCAGGAGAAAGTGGAGCAGGAAAGACAGGTAGGGATGAATTAACAGAGAGAGAGAGAGAGAGGGACGGATGGACGGACAGAGAGGCAAAGAAAGGGGGGGAGAGAGAGAGAGAGAGAGAGAGAGAGAGAGAGAGAGAGAGAGAGGGATACAAAGTAGAGAAATGGCATATTAATACACATGTACAGTGCATGGGCAAGAGAGAGAGAGGGGGGGAGAGGGAGGCAGAATTTGATAAGATAAGATGTTCTGATGTCAGACATTATGTTAGCAAGATGTATATTTACAATCCATTAACCACATAACCTCAGAGCTACAGTGAGAGATGGAGGTATGCTATAATAATAACAAATACCAGCAAAACCACTCATTTGTTTACTGACTCCTACCTTACCTTACATGGTAAAGGATTATTGATGGGATTATGAGTGGAATGTGGCTTTATGGGATTAGTAATAATCACTGATACGTTATATTAATTTTTAATGATAACAATTAATCATAACCATAACAAGCAAGTATTATATGTCCCACAAAAGGATTGTAGTAATAATATAATTATTCTTTTTTTGGCACTTTATCCCTTTTCATTATTAAGCGTAACTATGTTTTAATTTGTAAATGTACTTGAACTCAAGAGTGCGTATGATTTTAGTAGTTATGGCTGTATTAGTGATCTTTGTTTAATCTTGTGTCTTTCTCTTGTTAGAGGCCAGTAAGAAGATACTCCATTACTTGGCTCAATGCTCCAGCCACAAAGGAGAGGTGGACAGAGTGAAGGACAGACTTCTTCAATCTAATCCAGTTTTAGAAGTACAGCCACAGTCACATAAATTATGCTCCTCTTCCTTTATGCCTTTTTTCAATTTCTTCTGTTTTTTCTCCCCCCCCCCCTCTCCTTATTATTATTATTATTATTTCTTTTGTTCACTCTCATTTTGTAAAACTACATTTGTAAATGTATCTTTACATTACTTTTTTTTTTCTCCTCTCTCTCTCTCTTTCCTCCTTTTCTCAGGCTTTTGGTAATGCCAAAACAAACAGGAATGACAACTCGTCTCGTTTTGGCAAATACATGGACATACAGTTTGATTTTAAAGTAATATATCTTTAATTCATTATTATAACTAAATATTTATTTAATTTCTCACTCGCTTAGGGTGCTCCCAATGGCGGTCACATTAAGAATTATCTTCTTGAAAAGTCCCGCGTTATTTATCAGCAAAAAGGAGAAAGGAACTTTCACGTCTTTTACCAGCTGCTCCAGGCTGACGCTTCCCTCCTTAGTGAACTTGGTCTTAATGGGAAGGCCAGTGACTACCATTACCTCTCACAGGTATGTACATGTACTTAGTATAAATGTAATATTCTATTATAATTTTTAAATGCTGCAAGTACTATTACTGGTACTTGTACAAAATTAGATTTTTTGAATTTTTTAAGTTGCTCTAAAATTTTTATGAATTTTTTTAAGTTGCTCCAGAATAACAGACCAAAAAAGTTCCGGTTCCTGTCCATGTGACAATGGAACTAATGGGTTTTTGCTTGTCACGGATTTCGTGACAATGGAACTAATGGGTTTTTGCTTGTCACAGATTTCGTGACAATGGAACTAATGGGTTTTTGCTTGTCACGGATTTCGTGACAATGGAACTAATGGGTTTTTGCTTGTCATGGATTTCGTGACAATGGAACTAATGGGTTTTTGCTTGTCACGGATTTCGTGACAATGGAACTAATGGGTTTTTGCTTGTCACGGATTTCGTGACAATGGAACTAATGGGTTTTTGCTTGTCACGGATTTCGTGACAATGGAACTAATGGGTTTTTGCTTGTCACGGATATTTCGTGACATACATGTATGCATTGTAGCACATGATCTCTGGCCAAATTTTTTGATGCATAATTTTGTCAAAAATAGCTAGGAAGAAAATCTCTTTGTTTTTATTGTAATATCTTTTCATTTGTTAATAGGGTGACTGCACTGAGGTCCATAGTATCAATGATAGGACTGATTTCCTTCAAGTCCAAAAGGCTCTTCAAGTCATTGGATTCCTACCAGAAGAAGCAAAGGTAGAATAAATTATTAGAATAGAAATATTATTAACGCATTGTGTCACTGTTTTAGCTTTTAATCAATGCTATTATTTGATGCTTTTATTGTTGATGTTACAGTTTGTTACTGTCCTGATTTCCTTTGCTATAAAACTACTGTTATTTTTGATACTAATACTAATAATAATAATAATAATAATAATTCGTTTTATTATCATTGTTGTTGTTGTTGTTATTTCTTATTGTTGATATTTAAAAGATAGTCCCTGTCACACCTAGTTAATGTGTTTTGACTTACTCTGTGATCTTATTATGACAACCATTTCACATCAATGACATACATGTCCTATGTTTTATGTAAAAGTCTATATGATACAAAAATGATTTTTATCCACTATATTGTTGTATTTTTTTTTCCTTACTATAGGCATTGTGGAGTATAATAGCTGGAATTATACTACTGGGTAATGTTCGTTTTGATGCTAACCCAGAAGGACTTGCTAAGTTCAGTGAAAGTGGAGAAAGCATTGCTACTATTGCTAAAGTATGATTATAAAAAGTTTAAATTTTCTTATCCTCTCTCTTTTCCTTTCTCTTCCCTTCTTTTTCTCCCTCTCTCTCTTTCTCCTCTTAGTTATTCCAGTGTCCACAAGATAAATTGGAGACGGCCCTCACTAATCGACTGATTGAAGCAAGACAGGAGAAAATGTTGTCTCCTTTAACAGTTGAGCAAGCTTATTACGGACGGGACGCATCGGCAAAAGCAGTTTATGAGAGAATGTTTTACTGGCTTGTGAGGAGGCTGAACTCATCTCTGGAAAACAAAGTAAGAAATACATTATTATATTAAAGAAATGTTATTTTATAATCTTTTTTTTTCTTTTTCCCTTTTGCTATCTCTCTCTCTCTATTTCTCTCTCTAGTCTAAGTCCAGGGTTACGTTAATGGGGTTGCTTGATATCTATGGTTTTGAGATATTCGAGAAGAACTCCTTTGAGCAGTTCTGTATCAATTATTGTAACGAGAAGCTCCAGCAGTTGTTCATCGAGCTGACACTAAAATCCGAACAAGAAGAATACCTCAACGAGGGAATCAAGGTGAATGGGTGTGGTCGGTCACACCCACGTCATGTCTGCTAGCGCTACTATATGGATTTTTAACGCATTAAAAAAATTTTTTAGTTAATATTTATTAAAAATTTTTTACTTTGTTTTAGTGGGAGCCAATTGAATATTTCAATAATAAGATAATCTGTGATCTGGTGGAGGAGAAGCACAGGGGAATCATAGCTGTACTGGTCAGTCACATGATAATCACATGACACCAAATACAGAACTACACCCATCACAAAAATATATGTACATGTACTTTGACCCTGTGTCACTTGTAGTATTAAAATATGTATAAATAAATGTTCTAATTTTTATTAGTTAATGATACATTTTATTATTTTTTTATTGTAGGATGAAGAGTGTTTGAGGCCAGGAGACGTTTCTGATGAGACCTTTCTTGCGAAACTGACTGCAGTTGTTGGCACTCATGCTCACTTTATAACGTACGTGACAGCTGCTTTATGCCAACATTGTTACAATAGTTATCACAGCCCTGTCACGTAGGTGTACTTAAGCTTATATCTTTCCCTCTCCCTCCCTCTTTCTCTCTCCCTCTCTCTCTCTCCCTCTCTCTCTCTCTCTCCCTCTTTCTCTCTCCCTCTCTCTCTCTCTCTCTCTCCCTCTTTCCCTCTCCCTCTCCCTCCCTCCCTCTCCCTCTCCCTCCCTCCCTCCCTCTCTCTCTCTCCCTCTTTCTCTCTCCCTCCTTCTGCATGTGCATGCATTACAATATGTAACACACATGCTCTGCTACAATATTAGTCATGAGACTTCGGATTACGAAGGCCGTAAGACTATACAGAGGAATGAGTTCAGACTCAGGCATTATGCTGGCGATGTCACATACCAGATTGAAGGCATGAAAGTTTTTTTAGTATTTTATATTGAAATTTTTTTGTAGGTTTTGTTGATAAGAATAATGATCTGCTTTACAGGAGTTCGAAAGAAGTGGGATAATTTTAAAATTATTTTTACACAATCTTTCATTTTTTATCTTTCCATTTCATATTGATTCTTTTTTTATTGTATAGGCTTTCAGCTCCAGCAGTAATCTTGTATTATCTGAGGTGTTCCCACAATCAGAACTGGCTTCACAGAAGAGGCCACCCACTGTAAAAAACCTATTATTTATTTATGTATTTATTATTTTATTATTATTATGTATTTATTTATTATTATATTGTTTATACTATTTTAGGCTGGTACTCAGTTTAAGAACAGTTTGAGTGAACTGATGGAGATATTAATGTCTAAAGAACCCTCTTATGTGAGGTGCATCAAACCAAATGATAATAAACAATCAGGTACAGTGTATGTCTTTCCATATAACTTATGCTCCTTTACCCCCCCCCCCCTCTCTCTCTCTCTCTCTCCCTAAATCCATGTACATGTACATGCATTAATACATTGTATTTTTTATGATTTTAGGCATAAAAAATAATTAATACACTGTATTTATTTTTTTTATAATTTTAGGAACTTTTGATGAGAAAGTCGTGCGGCATCAGGTCAAATACTTAGGATTGATGGAGAACCTAAGAGTGAGACGAGCTGGTTTCTGCTATAGAAGAGTTTTTGAAGTATTCCTCCAAAGGTAATGTACATGTAGTACTTGTACTTCTCTCCTTTCTACATGTACTGTACTCTTTTATTTTTTTAATAGATACAAGCCTCTTTGTCCTGCTACTTGGCCAATCTGGGATGGTAATAATTAATGAATGATAATAATAATAAATGAATAATAATTATATATTCACATTAGGTGAGCTGTCCAAAGGTGTAGACACATTAATGACACACTTGAAACTAACCAGCACTGACTACAGTCTTGGACAGTAAGTATCAATGCATACTTCTTTATTGTGATTGTTGTTTATTTTAGTGAATTGCTTGTTTATTGTTGTTGTTTTTGTTGTTGTTTGTAGTACTAAGGTTTTCATTCGCTTCCCAAAGACATTGTTTAAATTGGAGGATCTGCTGGAGAAGAAGAAGCATGATATTGGTACAGTATTAATCTAATAATTGAGTATAATCTCCTTCCCTTCTCTCTCTCTCTCCCTCCCTCTCTTTCTCCTTAGTTACTATCATCAGTTGCAACTGGAGGAAATACATTGCTAGGAAGAAATACCTCCTACTTAAATGGGCTTGTAAGCCTATACACTCTATAATAATTTTTAATTTTTAATAATAATTCTTATTTCCATAGCTATCATATTTCAAAAGAATTATCGTATGCATTTGGTTTTGATGTACGTGAAGAGATACAGAGCAGCTGTCATGGTACAGAAGCACTGGAAGCGATACGCCATGAGGAAGTACTTCATTCGCTATAGGGCAGCTACCAAAGCTGTCAGGAAGTAAGTATTATTGTTTTATTTACTGGGGGAATGTAAAGCATTTGAAACATTTAAACATTTGTATACAGCACTGGGTCTATTATAGATCCTGTTCAATCTTTAATATTATTATTATTATTATCAATAGGTTTATAAAGGGATTTATAACGAGAAACCAACCCAGCTGCCCAGAGAATGTAGAGGTATTTTAAACACACTTTTATACAATGTTTTATACGAATGCTTCATACTTGTGCTAATGATGAAATTAAATTATGTTCTGTTTAGTTTTTAGCTTTTGTGAAGTTTAAGTTTTTGATGGATCTAAGTCGTGGGCTGCCGAAAAGCTTACTAGCTATTGACTCCTCCTGGCCCAAGTGTGCCCCTGCCCTCCAACAAGTATATTGATTATTATTATTATTATTATTATTATTATTATTGTTGTTGTTGTTATTATTATTATTATTGTTATTATTATTATTATTATTTTAGGCATCTGATATGCTAAAGGAACAGTACAGGCAGCAGTTAGTTCGACGTCTCGTTAAAGGAATGCCACAAGAGAAAAAAGAACACGTAATTAATTGAATTTTGTTGCTATCTATTTTTCTTATTGATATTTAATTTATTTGCCATTCTTTTTTTTTCTAGCTGAAATTAAAGATTGCTGCTAGCGAAATATTTAAAGGAAAGAAATCCTGTTACTTGACGAGTGTGCCAAAGCCATTCATATCCACTCACTTAAGTAATATAAATTGAGAAACATTTTTCATGTAAAATTTTTGTCTCTGTTTTATTTTTTTTTCTCCAGCTGAAGCAGAGAAAGCTGCAAAAGTCAAAAATTTTGATCAAAAGCATCCTGATTCAGGACAGCAGCTGGTACAATACTGTCTCTTGTTTTTGTACTTAAATATTTCATTTTCCTCTCTTCCTTGCAGTTTGCTGTAGCATGCATCAAATACGATCGTCATGGCTACAAGGCTCGAAAACGAATCCTCTTGATGACAGAGAAAGTAATCAGCAAAGAGACAAAATAATTAAAATTAACAATAATTGATGTTATTTTTATTTTAGGCTTGCTATCTTGTGGAGCCAGGCTCTTTTAAAATTAAAGAACAATTTGAATATTCGAGGATGCATGCTCTTTCACTGAGTAGCCTTGGAGATGGAATCATTATCATTAGATTACCTGTTGATGCTGATGAAAGCAAAGTAGGGAGAGAAAAAAGAAAGAAAATAAAACTTTATCCTTCCTTCTCTCTTTCTTTAGGGTGATCTTATCATAGATACTGATGCTCATGTTATTGAAACTGCTTTTAAAATTGCTCATTTTGCAAACAAGAAAGAGAAAGTGCAGATAGAGACATCGGGAAGGTATACAGAGAAACTTTTATAATCATTTTCAAATAACTCTTCTCTCCTTCTCCTTTCCTCTAGTTTAAACCATGGCATGGCAGGTGGTAAAATAGGCACAATAACCTTCACAGCTGGGTCAGTATTTCAACCATTGCATACTCTTTTATTAAAATGTTGACATGATATTTTAGTAATAGACTTTAAAATATTTCTTTCCTATTTTTAGATCTGCTGTCTCAGTTATCAAAGGAAAAACTGGAAATCTGGAAGTTGTGAGTTTAAATTGATACTATTAGCTAAAAGGTTTTTCCTATTAGTGATATGTTTCATTCCTGCACTATAAATATAATTTTGTTTTATCACTCAGTTTTAGCTATGCAGTAGTTTATGTATCATTTTTTTTTCTTTATTTTTGTCTAGGTTGCTCCAAACGATGTTGATCAAGGTTCTCAAGGGACTTTACTCTAAATAATAATCCTCATATCTTGCAATTAATGTCAACTCTCATTAAATTAATTTATTGTGTAATGCGGAGTAGTAACTATAACTTTCACACTAGCAATTATTATTATTATTAGATAATTCAAGTTAATATTTATTTTAAAAGAATCTGCAACTGCAATGATGATAATTACACATTAATTTACGAATTATTGTTTGGCGGTCGAATTTCCCGCCAATTAAGGCGTGGTCATCCCTTAAACATGGCGTCTATCGTGGAGGCATTAAAAGACACTCCAAAAGGACGGCTAGCTCTAGATCCTCTCTCACCAAAGGAACAACTGGTAAAAAATTCCTGTGTTCATTTTAATTTCTTTATTTTTAGGAATTATTAAACAATATCTCAAGCCCCCCGGGGATCCACAATTCTTTTACTCAAAAGTATAACAGACCACGCCCAAAATCTCCTCCCCTTTTACCTTCCCCAGAACCGACACCACCAGCATCTCTGTAAGTCATGTGACGATTACGTTACATGTACGTACATGCATGTACAAATTATTTTAGAGACGAGACAAATAATTTAATTTTAACGTCGACAACTTTACCCCAGTCTCCACCATCTTGGAGTAAAAGGATAGATACTGATGTACTTTCAGATGATGAGACAAAGGAGATTACAGTAAAGAGAGAGAGAAAATGGCTTGTTTTTATATTAATTTTGTCTCTAGGAGTGTATAAAAAAAAGGAGGTCACATTTTCTTGAAGAGAAGAAGAGGATACTATCAGAGCATAGTCTCCGGACTAGTGAGAGAGAGGAACGACTTCAAATGATGAGAGAAGATGATAGTTTCCAAAGAACGATGGATGAGCATTCCTTGTAAGATATTTGCATAAAAGAGAGGGTGCGTGTACATGTACACCACTACATGTATGACAATTTTTTAATACTCTAAATTTCGGAAAAGTACCCTGTACTATAGCCCATGGTTTTTTCCAAAAAATGGCTCCGAAATCACCCCCAATTTTTATTACATTTTCTGATACATATTGATGTACTAAGTTTGAACCAATTCCGACTTCAATTTTTTGAGTTACGGCCATTTTTTAAAATCTCCAAATTTCGGAAAAATACCCTTTTCCAAAAAATGGCTCCGAAATCACCCCCAATTTTTATTACATTTTCTGATACATATTGATGTCCTTATGCTATGTAGAAAGTTTGAACCAATTCCGGCTTCAATTTTTTGAGTTACGGCCATTTTTTTAAGTCTCCAAATTTCGGAAAAATACCCTGTACTATAGCCCATGGTTTTTTCCAAAAAATGGCTCCGAAATCACCCCCAATTTTTATTACATTTTCTGATACATATTGATGTACTTATGCTATGTAGAAAGTTTGAACCAATTCCGGCTTCAATTTTTTAAGTTACGGCCATTTTTTTAAATCTCCAAATTTCGGAAAAATACCCTGTACTATAGCCCATGGTTTTTTCCAAAAAATGGCTCCAAAATCACCCCCAATTTTTAATACATTTTCTGATGCATATTGATGTACTTATGCTACGTAGAAAGTTTGAGCTGATTCCGACTTCAATTTTTTGAGTTATGACCATTACATGTACATGCATATGCCAATTCATTATGAGTGTTGCTCTTAGTCTGATGTACCATTAATTATGTTACTATTAATAGAATGCAGGAAGCAGAGAAAGAGGAAGAGCGGATAAGAATAAGCTACCAAGAGTATTCTGAGGTACTGTACATGTACAATGTACATGTTTATAATGTATACTGCGTATATGTACATGTACATGTACTCTACACCCATACATTGTATGTCTATTGTTATTATTACAATTGTTGCTAGATCACTGAGAAGCGAATACATGACAACCAGGAAAAGATGAAACAAACCATTTTGAAAATACAACAAAGGTATTAGGAGTCTCCTTTACAATTATTGTAAGCTCTCCCTCTCTCTCTCTCTCTCTCTCTCTCTCTCTTTCTCTCTCCTCTAGAAAAGAGTTGTTGAGCAAACTGGAAAAAGATGTCTTGATTTTGAAAGAGAAAGGGAAGCGACTGCTGGATGGATGTCGATATCATCAACTAATGGATAACAATGCTCCACTCCAGTTTGACCAAAGGGCTACAAGTATACTACAAAATATTGAAGAACAAAGAGCAGCAGAATCACCTGATCCTCTTATGGTAATAGGAGAGAGAGGGAGAGGGAGAGAAATTTTAAAGACTGCTCTACTTTACCTACTGTACATAACTGTACATTTTGTATACATGTACATGTACATGTACATGTATACATTATATTATAGATTCACAGATCCTCAACTTTGTTAAGAGTACTGCACTAACATGCTGTACATGTACATGTACATGTACATTTATCTTTTAGCAGTGATTTGATTGTTGGATTTGATGAACCTCTTTTCTCTTTATTTAGTTAAATAATATAAAGTCATTAGTGACTGGTCTTCTTCCATTGCTCCCTCTCATCAAAGAAGAGGTGGAGAGAGCAAACAAAGCTGGAGCTGACTTGATAGAGAAACAGAAGAAGCAGAAGGAGGAGGAGGGCAGAGAGGCAGAGAGAAAAAGACTTGAAGATCTCAAAAAGACTCAAGGAACAGCAACAACGCCTTCAGCTAAGACTCAGAATGAAAAAGGATCTGCTCCTGTAGCAGCAGCGACTGGTGACAATGGACTTAGTTAGTTAAAGACTCCTTCAATAGGTCTTGATTTCTTTCTTTATTTCTTTTCCCTCTTTTATTTTCTCCATTCTCTTTCCCCTCTCTTTCTCTTTTCCAGTGATTATACCCAAGTCTGCTTTGCAAAGATATGAGGAATTGATTGAGAAATTGGAGAAAGCCAACACTCAGACTGCAACATTTTCTAAAACAAGTGATCCACAGGTTTGCCATCCACTCCTCCCTTATTACATGTACATGTAAAATGTACCTTAAATTCAGATTTAATTGTGTGTACATGTACATGTATATACTGATTCTAGCAAAAAGTCATGGATCTTCAAAATGCTAAATGAAAGTCATTCATTATTTGCTAAAAATTAAAGCACTAAGAATCAGTCCACACTATCACAATTAAGAGTGGATTTATTGTCCATGTACATGTACATACATGTACATGTACATGTACATGTATACCTGTTCATTTCTATAGATGAAAAAGTACAAGTTCAGCCTTCAGAAAGCAGTCAATATGGTTGGTGCGGTTTCTGGTCAAACTGGTAGTCAGCTCCTTCATATTGTCCAACAAATAAAGAGATTGTTGTCTGGAGATATCATTGAAGTATCTGGCAAAAGAGTAACCGTGAAAGACCATCCATTGGCCAGGGACTACTGCATTAACCTACTGGCTAGGAAAATAGTAGTAAGACTAAGACACAGCATATACACTGTACATGTATAAAGATTAATAAAATAAGATATAGCTATGCATGCACATTGTGTTTGCCCTACATTTGTGACTGGAACTGACAAAAGGTACCATTTGGCAGTTACAGTAATTAAATTCATCGTTAAAGTTAAAAAATTCAACTTGCAAGTGTGGTTTTGAAAAAGCAATGATTGCAAAAAATGTCAAAAAACTTTTTGCACTCTATCCAAAAAGATAAGTTAAATTGGACATGTGCAAGTTGACCTTTTTTGACTGTAAAGATGAATTCAATTACCCACCAAATGGTACGTACCTTTTGTCAGTTCCTGTAACATTTACAAATTACAATTACATGTACTTGTATTCCATATATCCATATAAGGAGCAAGCTGGAGAGGCCTCGAGGTTTGTCTTTACCCTGGCTGGTATTGTTGTCCTCCTTTGGCACAATTTCCCTGAGTTTGGTGACCTTTTCCTTGCCCACTGCTACCACACTTGTCCTGTACTAGTACCGCTCTACTTCAGGAAGAACAAAGGAATGAGTGAGATTGAGTTTAAAAAGTATGAGAAATATCAACATGTCTCCTTTAATTCTCTCTCTTCTCTCTCTCTCTCAGGTTGTTAGGTTATAAAGTTGTTGGTGGGATCCTTGAGGAGGACAAACTGTTTAATGACAGACTGAGTGGCTGTGTAAAACTTTATGCAGCTGTCATTCAAACCACACCTATAATGGGAGTGGTCAGTGCACATACATGTACTTGAAATTTACTATCGTTACTTAATTATTATTCTTATAGCCGAATCATCATGGCCTTGATAATGGCTGGACGCTAATTGCAAGGTTGCTTAATTCTGAGCCACAGCATAACATCACTGCTATAGCACTAAAAAGCTTATTGGAGGTACATGTACATGTAAATATACATGTACATGTACATGTACATGTATGTGTATAATTATGTATATTAAGTGCATGTAAACTGATGGTGAATGTGATCTTTGTATTGATGTTATCTTTTAGGTGGCTGGGCATGGCTTGATGAAGAAGTATGGCCGACAGTTTAAGAAGATCGTGTTATTTTTATGGCAGGAGTACATAAAAAAGTATAATCATACAATCTGTACATGTATACATGGACAATATTTCGCTTCTTTCTTAGGATTGAGAGTGTAACTGCTTCTGGAGAGAGACAACCTTTTGTTGAACTTCAACTCTTTTTAGAGGTTGGCACTACATGTGAATGTTCTACATTGTATCAAAATGTAGAATCTCTCCTTTTTTATTTTTAATGAAATTTGGCTCGAGACCATGTACATGTACATGTACTATATATAGTACAGGGACTTTGGCCTGATTTTAGAGCAACTTTAAAAATTTGTAAAAAAAAATCCAAATTTGATTGAAATCATCTCACACTTTTTACACAACATAAGTACATGTATATGTGTCAGGTAAAATTATAAAAGTGAAGGATTCTCTCCTTTTCATTTTTGATGAAATTTGGCCCAAGACCATGTACAGTAGTGACAGTACATTTACATGTACATGTATGTACATGTATTTACAGAAATTTTGTTTTATAATAGAAATGTATGAAGGAGGGACGTATTCCTGTCCCTGATGGTGTTTTAACTGATGATTTCTGGAGAAGGAGAGAAGTCTCTATTATTGGAGAATGAATCAATCAATCATTGTAAGAAAGAGACACAAAATAATGTAAAATAATTTTCTATCATTTTTAATCACTTGACAATTCACTTTTCATTTTTTTTCTAATAAATTCATGCCTTGTAATGTCAAGAGTATTATTGATTAAGTAGAATCGGAAGAGTTTTTTGTAGAAAGAGGTTCATAAAAATAATGTTTAAATGATTACTAGTTCTTTCTCTTTCCTACTATCCCCTGCTCTTCTTTCTCCTGCTTCTCTTGTATGATATTCAGTAGCTCCATTATGAAATCGGTAAATGTTTTCTTGATAGCATCAGGATTGTCATCAATGGCAAAATGAGTGCACCTCACACTCTGTAGAGCTACAAGAGATACAAAATACATGTACCTGTATGTTCATTTCTACCATGACTAGTTCCAATTTACATGTACATGTAGCAATCAAAGTACAGTTCTACTATTAGTCTTTAAAATAAAGCAACATGTACATGTATATATTGAGATTATTATTGTACATACATGTACATGTAGATGATAGATATGAGCTGCAAACTTTACTTTTCAGTTTTATTTCAATGTGCAAATATTGCTGCCTTTTTTCAGTCAAATAATGTGATTGCAATATTAAAAATGATTTATTATAATCTCTGTGTCTTACCAGGAGGTACTGTCCAATCTTGTGCAGGCCGACTGTCTGATTTATGAATAGCTAGTAACATGCATTGACTGTCTCTCAGCCCGTACTGTTTCACGAAATACTTGTACCTACATGCATAGATGTAAAACTATTCACACTGGTTTATAATAAATGAATGACGTACCATTTCTCAACTACTTTGCTTTGTTCTGATACTGCTGGGTTGTAGACTAGGACTAAGCCTTTTGTTTCTTTAGCAAACGCAGGCCAGCATGTCTCGTACTCCTTCCCACCTCCAGCGTCCCAGAGCTCCACTCCAACTCTCACCAGTCCTTCTCCTCTCCCTCTCTCTCCATCCACTTCAAACTCTAACAATCTCACTCCCTTTGTTGGTTGGTATTCGCCTCCCAGACTCTCTGTCGCATCAGCTAATACGTTAGAGACGTAGGTTTTACCTGACTACACATAATAGGACATTATAAAAGTCTTTTCAGTACGTTCTTACCTCTTGTGGTCCGCCAACAAGAATCTTTGCCTTCAGCGCCATCTTTATTTATTGGTTGCTGGGACAACGTGACCACGCCCACAAATGTCTAATTCTGTGATTCCTCATAAGTATTTCAAAATTTTTTGCCTTTTTTTGTAGGTAAAAATAATCAATCATTAGCCTTTTAGACACACAAATAAGCACATACATACAAACAATTCGGATACATTATAAATTTATCTAATAATAACACACACACATAGTGTACGGAGAGTAAAGAGAAATCGAATACACGACTATTAAAGAATAAAACGGTTTATTATCTTTCTTTTCCTCCTATGTCTTCTTCTTGTGCTCAATCTTTTGTACTTTGACGTCTTTATACAGCTGGTACACATAGACAACAATCTGGGACCCTTGGATGTCCATTAGGACAAACGAAGGTACTACATCACTACAAATACATGTAGGCATAATAATAAGATTGAACTTTATTAGCCAATCATTATCTTGGTACCTTAACTTATAATTATAATATTACATATACTTACACATCTAGGGCGTTGTATGCACCAGTTGCTGAACCTGGGTTAACGTAAAACTTTCCTTCTTTCTCTACAGCCGAAAACTATAACAAAAACAATTTAAATCAAAATCAAATTCAAATCAAAATCAAATCAAAATCAATCAAACAATCAATGTAAAGTTACATGCGTGCATGCATACTTTGTGTGTGTGGCCTGAGATTAAAATATCCACATCTAATTGTCTTTGAACCTGTATTGGTAAAAGAAAAAGGATTATAAAATGGAGAGAGAGAGAGAGAGGGGATGGATCTCACTAGAGATAAGCTCTCGATGTCTCCCCAAGGAACAATCTGGTGTCCGTGGGTTAGGCCTATCTTGAACTGTCCTACAGTAACTACCTTCTGTTCGGGATACTGGGTACTCTATGCCACAAAAATAACACAATGAGTCAGTAGGAAGAGTTGTTGTATTTTTATTAAACATTGACATCAGGCGATGTTTGTATTAAATTTTGGCAAAGGAAGTCTTGGATGAGCTGACAACAACTGCATTTAATGCACACGTGAATGCTAGACCAACTTTTTTATTTAAAAAAACTGTATACAAAGGTACAGTATACTTGCAATATACATTGGAGCCTTTTTATATTCAGGAGGAGTTAAACCATTGTGATGATCCTTAATACAGAGGCAACACCTTTTAAAATGTACTATTATAGAATTTTGTAGCAATAATGATATCAATAAATGCCCTTAATATATAAAAGTGGTCTTATTATATGTACATGTATGTAGCTAGGTGGCGAGTTATACTATATACATACAAATCGATAGGAACATACAGTACATGTATATATCATGCATACATGAAGATATACATAGATGCATTAGATACAGTGTTTTATTTCAGGAGACATAATGTATTCTTACTTCATCAAAGTCTCCTCTCACCACGTGTACGTCACTAGCCAGCGTCTTGAGGTAATCATGCATCTCCTTAGAACAAAGATTGCCTGTACATAGTATATGCTGTATCTTCCCTGGAACCTGAAGAAAAAGGAGAGAAAAGGTGTGTAACTCAAAAATGGGTGTGGCTCATCTAAACTCTCCTACCAGTAGTTTTTTAAACTGAGGCGGTAAAGAGTTTGCTCTGTGCGGTATGTGACAGTCTCCTATGATCAGTACTAGCTGTGTGGGGGAGAAAAGGAGAGAGAAATGAGGGGTATAGGTCGGTTAAAGACTCTTCACAGCTTACCACCATCTTGTTTCGGGTCACGTGTAAAAGCTTGACGTCACAACAAAGCAAAAATAGGAGGAGAGACTGAGTGTGTGTCTGCTCAGTTTCTTATCTTCAGACCTTCCCCCTCTTTCTTTCTCTCTTCTCTCAAGTGGATAAAATGCTGCAGCATTTCTTTGAATGATAAGAAGGCTAGAGCGTGCTGAAGAAGAATAGAGAGAGAGAAAAGGTAGACTAGAAATTATATAAAAGATAAAGTTTTAGGTTATTTTTTCTCCAATTCTTTTCGGCAGATTTAAAAGAGAAAGCTAGGTATGGACGAAGACAGCTTAACTGGTCTTCTGTTAAGTGAACTCTATCCACAGCAAGACAGCCCACCTGTATATGGTAATAAGAAAAAAAACAAGCAAAATTATCACATTAATAATGCCCCTCCTTCTCTCTTTCCCTCTCTCTTCCTCTCCCCCCTCTCTTTCTTCAGATGATGGTTGTAGCGTTGATACTGAAGTTCCCTTTCAGTTGATTCCTGGAGAGGCGTCACGTTTCATCAGCCTACACGACAATGGATCTCATTTCATAGTACTCACTAACTTCCGGCTCTTTCTGACTTCGGAGAAAGGTTTTGTTAGTTTGCCATTGGGTCTTATAGAGAGCATAGAGGCTGTGACTGACGACATTTCGGTGTTTTGTAAAGATGGGAGGAGCTTAAGGTATACATGTACATGTAGACAATGTACAACCATTTTAAGACAGCACCTAGTGTATCATTTACATTCCTCACCGTATAAAATAACCTCCACGTAAAGGACACCTCTGTATAACAGAGACACTTTCTTGTCCCAAAAAGTATCCATTATATAGAGGCTACACTGTATGTGCATGTGCATATATTTATATTACATTCTACTCTCTCTGTCTCTCCCCCCCCCTCTCTCTCTCTCTCTCTCTCTCTCTCTCTCTCTGTAGGTTGCAGCTGGATAGTTTTGAACAGTGTAGATTATGGTGCCATAGAGTTCAAGATAGCCTCAAACCCTCAGCTAATTTCAGGGATGCTTTTGCCTTCATACACTATGCTTATTTATCTGATGGCTCCACTGTTAAGAAAAGACAGCTTAAAAGTACGAGATACATTAGCTCCTTTGTCACTAATTCTCCTCCATTGTTATACAGGGAGGGGTAATCCTTCCTTATCGACCGAGCTGTTAACTTCGGAATATTCCAGACTTGGTTTTAATAAGCCAGGCACATGGAGAATAACTGATGCTAATGCTAAATACGAGTAATTATTATTTATGAGATAAATAATTGGATTATTTATATTTGCATTTGTCTTTCACTTTCTTTACTCTCTCACACGTAAAATTTTTGTTTTGCCACTTCATTATTTTTGTTACTTCTCCCCTCCCTCTCTCTCTCTCTCTCCCTCTCTCTCTCCTCTCTCTTTTCCAGACTCTGTTCTTCCTATCCAAAAGTGTTTGTTGTTCCCCAGTCTGTCACTGACTCTGATTTGTTACAAGTCTCCAAGTTTCGGTCGCTGAGCAGACTACCAGCTGTCGTCTGGAGGTAAGCCTCCCTCCCACCTCTTATTAGTACTACAAACTTGATTGTAAAGAATGTAAAAATGCATAGAAATTGCATTAAATACACAATGTAGTACAATACAACCATACCTGTACACTGTATTGTGCATTTACATGTATACTGTATATATATGTACATTGTATATTTTAATGTGTATTTTATAAGCTTAATATAAACTAGTAGACTCTAGTCTCCATTTCTAATGTACATTTATTGTTCATGTACATGTTTATACAGACTTCTTTCTTTTTCCCCCTCTCTCTATCCTCTCTCTTCTTTTAGGCATAAGGGCAATGGCTGTGTTTTAGCACGTGCTAGTCAACCTCTAGTCGGTTTCCTTGGCTGGAGGTGCCAAGAAGACGAGCAGTTTTTAAAAGCACTCTCTAAGTCCTGTCACCCTCACGCCCCTCCTATGGAGGTTATGTCACACGGAGAGAAAATTACTAATGGAGTTGGCCAGACCCCTTCGCTACTTGTCGTTGATTTAAGATCTTATACCGCGGCTTTTGGTAACAGGGCGAAAGGCGGAGGGTGTGAGCATCAAGATTATTACTCGAACTGTGAGATTGTTTATAAAGGACTGCCTAATATTCACTCTGTGAGGACTAGCTTTGGATCACTGAGAAACTTGTTATCTGGAAATGAACAAATTAGGTATATGTACTTGTATGTACATTTACATAAACATACTAATTTAATATAATTATTTCTTTATTATAGTATTATTGATCCACACACAAATACATAGTATACTCACTAGATTGAGTTACACTTATTGTTATTGTTAGTTGTTAGTGATAGCTGCTCTCTTAGCTTCCTTCTTGTGTCTAGGATCATTATCTTTATACTTTACTTTCTCTTTCTCCTTCCACTAATGTACACGTACACGTACCATTTTATCATTTATGCAATTGTGAAATCCTTTGTTCTTCTCTTTTCCTTCTCTTCTACCCCCTCCCCCCTCTCTCTCCTTTCTTAGATTTTTCTCTCAATTGGAGGGAACCCATTGGCTCCAGAACATCTCCCAGCTGCTACAAACAGCAGTCGAAGTATCCAATACACTCCACCATCACTCCAGACCGGTTCTCATTCATTGCAGCGATGGTTGGGACAGAACAACACAGATCACTTCCCTGGCCCAGCTCCTCTTGGATCCGTACTATCGCTCGCTGGAAGGCTTTCGTGTCCTTGTTGAAAGGGAGTGGCTTAGTTTTGGACACAAGTTCTCCGATCGATGTGGTTTTGGGCCCGATGGGGAGCAAAGCCCTGTATTCCTCCAGTGGCTTGATTGTCTTTATCAAATCAGTAATCAGTTTCCAACTTCGTTTGAGTTTAATAGCATCTTCCTGGTTAGTCTATGATGATGAAAAATTTTATGAGTAACCCAGGATAATTTTGAAAACCTATCCATTGTATTTTTGAACCCCTTTCACAACTACATGTATCTGCAGGACAGTAGTACTATTTCTGTAGTGTTTTTACTCATCCACTTGATTCAGTTGAATTGGTAGTAGTAGTAATGTCATGTGATTAGGAAAATATGTACAGTACATGTACATATATGTACATTATAATTTTATCATTATTATTATTATTAATTATTATTATTATTAATTATTGTTATCATTATAGGTTAAATTGGCCCAGCATTGTTATTCTCAGCTCTACGGGACATTCCTTGGCAACTGTGAGCAAGAAAGAGAGAGAGAGTTGGTCAGACTCCAGACATTGTCACTCTGGGACTGTTTGGAGAAAGAAAGGGAAATAACTAATGCTATTTATAAAGAAAATGGCGACGAAGTAAGATATTACAAGGCTATGATACAATACAATGTGCATGCTGTTTAACAGTACGTGTACATGTGTATTGGAAAAGTAGTAAAAAAAGAACATGTACATGTACATGCATCAGAAATAAATATAAAAATGGAGAATTCAGTCCTATTTATTTTTATGACATACACATGTACAGTACCCTGCATTATAGTCCATGGTTTTTTGGCTTAAGTTTGGAGCAACTTTATACATGTAAATGCAGTCACTGTCAATCAATTACTAATAAAGTTAAATTATCATTAATTAATATGTCCACAGGTTGTTCTGTGTCCTAATTATCAAGTTCGCTCCCTCAAGTTATGGCGAGAGCTTTTCCTCCATTTACCTCTAACCCGTTACACAACTACCCTCCCTCCCCCGCCCTCTTCCAGGCCCCTCCTACCTTCCACGCCCACTAGGGAGAAACCAAATGGTCACTTACATGTACCAGTAAAGAGTAACGGGATTATTCCCTCTCTGTCTCTCCATGTCGAAGAGGACAAGGAGAGCGAGGGAGATGAGAGTGTTTATAAGAGTTTCACTGTGTCTGTTTCTAATGGGGACACGTCATTAGAAGAGGAGGAGGAGAGAGAGAGAGGGACAGTAGAAGGAAAGACCAAAGAAGAAGAAGAAGAAGAAGAAGGAGAGCTAAATAAAGAGGAGGCTAGAAATATTAATGGAGAAACAACAGAAGAAGCTAAAGATACAAAGTCTACACCTCCTGCCTCTGCTGTCACTGATAGTCAAGTGTTCTGGCAGTCACAGAACTTCTCTCTCTCTGTCAATCACCCTGCTGCTGACATGGAGGAGAGCTTTCGTGTTGTTCCGGAAACATCCGAGCCCTCTCTCACGACCTTTGCAGTACAGGAAGTCAATAAGAACTCGTCCCTACCTCTTGCAACGACTGTCGATAAGTCCTGGCTCTCATACTCCACCTCTCTCAATTACAGTGTGTTCTCGGAGTGCGAGTCCAGGCTCCGCCTATTGGGAAGAGACGGGCTTGTTAAACAGGTTGATCCGGTTCAAGAACGAGTTGCGGAGTTAGAAGGATTGCTTCGTCAGCGGGTCCATCTCCTTGAGGAGGAACTGAAGCGTGTGAAATCGGCTCTTACTAGCGGGGAGGGTTTTGTGAGCGTGGTCAACGAAGAGGAGTGCTTGGCTGTAAATGATGAGAAGAATGAAGAAGTAAGATATTAATATTCATTTTAAATTTGATATTAATTTTATCTCTCTCTCTTTTTGTAGCCTACAAGTCCAGTTAACGGCGATTGGACATGTGTTGATATTGCTGATAGTAATGGAGTCACTTGGATTCCTGATCACGCTGTTAGTCACTGCCCGTGTGGGGCTGAATTTTGGATGGGGAAAAGAAAACATCATTGCAGGTAAAGAGAGAGAGAGGAAGAGAATGTAATCATAAAGATATTATTATGCTTTTCTTAGGAGTTGTGGTGGCATATTTTGTTGGCAGTGTTCCAATTACTTCACTCCTGTCCCACACGAGCAGTTATTCAAGGACCAACGAGTTTGTAAAATCTGTTTCGATAAATTAGACGGCCATTTAAAATCATGCCAGTCCCCAGTAGCAGCAGCTTCCTTAAATGGAAGTAAAACAGAGAGCAAGATTAAATGATGTCTCTCTGTTTAAAATAACAATAATAGCATAATTTTTGTATTGTTAAGCTGTTATCTATAAATAGACGACGTGTTCTATTTTTAGTAACACTGTTCTATTTATAGTATCATGTTATAGCCACGTTTTGGTGGTCAGGTTTGTATGATAAGACTGTCTTTAGGTCGATCCTCTCTATCTTTCACTCTAGCTATTTTCACAGTATTTTATTTTAAATTGATATTATCATTGTTAGATTTTTTAATTCTCTCTTTTATTGTTTTTTTGTCATATTATCCAAGTTTATAATAATTTTCTGCTAATTTTATTTTCACGTTTGAAATTCAAAAGCTGGCATGTCCTTAAGGTTTTCTCAGGCAATACAATTGAATCAAATTTACAGTTTAACAACATACAAATTGCAACTATAAATGCATTAAAGTGTATTCATCTTTTTCTGTATTTTGTTGATTCAAGTTGTGTATTTTCTATGTCACACAAAAAATAACCTGCTGTTCAGTGATTTGAAGGGACATTTGAAGGTTTTTCAAAAGTTGTAGTAATATGCTAAATGCACAATTACATATTTTAATATGTTAGTTCATAATTCTCCACTCATTTTTAACTTCATTAAAAACCCAAACTGCGTATGATCCAAGTACCGACTAGCCGGTGGTTTTCGACCCATAGTCTCAGCCATTGTACGGGTGAGCTCCCCAGAGTTCCCACAGCAAATACCCAAGTACTTCATACCAAGACTGGTGCAGGACTTTGTGAATGATTCTATTTCAACCGGTGAGACACAGAATGGCTCCATACCTCTTGGATAAACTGGGTTATTCGCAGGACAGATAGAATCTGTCAGGTCCATGAAGCTAGGCTCCTTAGGAGTTGTACGATATGCAATGGGTAATGCTCCAATCTTTTCAGGAGGACAAACTTGAACAATATTGTTGACAAGCTCTAGTGTCATTTCAGGTCCACGGGTGCAGTTCACTCCAGTTATTGTTACTCCTCTATCTATCAGATCCTTGCATGCTTCTCCTATTGGGACACCATCACGTGTTCTTACTACTCCATCCTCTCCTTTAGCACCATGGACAGTAAGTGTTACCACAGCAGGTAGGTCAAAGCTCTGTATTACTTCTAAAGCGATTTGTGCTTCTCCAAGGAAAGAGAATGTTTCCCCAATCATGTAGTCAACTCCTTCTTCTTTGCTCCAACGAACTTGTTCCTCAAACATGGCTCTCACCTTTTCTTCTGTCTCTCCCTTCACATATTGGTTCGTGTTTGAAATCCCTCCCGCAAACAGGAGGTTCTTCTCTTCTGCTACTTCATGTGCAATTTTCAAAGCGGTTCGGTTAATCTTCTCAATATCGTCCTCCCTCCCTATCTGCTTCATCTTCTCTCTGTGAGTATTGTACTGGTAACAAAGAGATTTGGTATCATAACAAAAGTAACCACTAAAAATAATTGCAATTTAATTTGCAATTAAGCAAAAGGCTATAACATTAATCAAGGCATGCAATCCCCATGATCCCATCTCAGGTTTTTTCATGTTGTGATCAATACTGAAAAATGACAGAACTAATCTAGATCTAGATATGCAGAAACCACTCAAATGCAGCTATAGATCTACCTGGAATGCTTCTATGACATCAGACCCAGCATGTGCCATTTCATAATGGACACTCTTCAGTACTGCAGGGTCTTCTAATATGAATTCAGGGACCCACACCCCGTGTGTGATATACCCTCGACGACTCAGAGCAAGGAGATATCCCTCAGCACAGAGAATGCTCTCTCCAGCATTCAGCCTTTCCTGTAGTCCTCGGCTCTTGAGGAGTCTTCTAGAAGCCATGCTCCTTAGTGTTTAAGTCTTTGCGAGTAGATCTAAAAAATAAGAGATTGGCATAGCCCAGGTTAGCAAGAAAATAAACTTGCTGGAGCTGTATAGATCTAATCTGGGTCCCAGCTAATATTACCAGGCTTGAAGCCACACCTTTACTTTATGCCGGTTAGCTCTAAATTGTGGTCAATGAATTCTGCAAAACACTTTGTCAAAAATCTTCACACTTTACACATTGATTACAATTGCAAGTATGTTGCGCTAGTTATTATACACACACTTTATATTAAAATGTTAGTTTATAATTGTCCACTCATTTTTAACTTATTTAGCAACCCAAACTGAGTATCATCTAAGTACCGACTAGCTGGTGGCCTACGACCCATAGTCTCAGCCATTGTACGGGTGAGCTCCCCAGAGTTCCCACAGCAAATACCCAAGTACTTCATACCAAGACTGGTGCAGGACTTTGTGAATGATTCTATTTCAGCCGGTGAGACACAGAATGGCTCCATGCCCCTTGGATAAACTGGATTATTTGCAGGACAGATAGAATCCGTCAGATCCATGAAGCCAGGTTCTTTAGAAGTTGTACGATATGCAATGGGTAGTGCTCCAATCTTTTCGGGAGGACAAACTTGAACGATATCGTTGACAAGCTCTAGTGTCATTTCAGGCCCACGGGTGCAGTTCACTCCAGTTATTGTTACTCCTCTATCTATCAGATCCTTGCATGCTTCTCCTATTGGGACACCATCGCGTGTTCTTACTACTCCATCCTCTCCTCTAGTAGTATAGACTGTAAGTGTTATTACAGCAGGTAGGTCAAAACTCTGTATTACTTCTAAAGCGATTTGTGCTTCTCCAAGGAAAGAGAATGTTTCCCCAATCATGTAGTCAACTCCTTCTTCTTTGCTCCAGCGAACTTGCTCCTCAAACATGGCTCTCACTCTCTCCTCTGTCTCCCCCTTTACGTAAATGTTTGTATTCGAAATCCCTCCGGCAAAAAGGAGGCTCTTCTCTTCTGCTACTTCACGTGCAATTTTCAAAGCGATTCGGTTAATTTTCTCAAGATCGTCCTCCCTCCCTATCTCTCTCATCTTCTCTCTGTGAGTGTAGTACTACATAACAAAAGAGAACAAAGAGATTAGAGGTATCACAACAAAAGTAACCACTAAAAAATAACTGAAATACAACAATGTTACTATCCATGAGGCTATGTTAGCATAGCACTAAAACAAAGCATGCAATCTGCTTGCTGTATATAATCAACATTAAATAGAAATTAATGTGATAAATTCTCAAGCATCTACCTGGAATGCTTCCATGACATCAGATCCAGCATGTGCCATCTCGTAATGGACGCTCTTCAGTACTGCAGGGTCATCTAATATGAATTCAGGGACCCACACCCCGTGTGTGATGTACCCTCGACGACTCAGAGCAAGGAGATATCCCTCAGCACAGAGAATGCTCTCTCCAGCATTCAGCCTTTCCTGTAGTCCTCGGCTCTTGTTTAAACTGTAGCTTCTACTTGTTAAAAGGCTTGTACTACCTGCACCTGATTTAAAAAAAAATAAAAAGAGAGGAGGAAAAGTAAATTTATAACTTTTTGTGAAGGTTCTGCTAGCTTTTAAGAATCCAGCTAATGAGTTATTGAAGAGTCTTGTAGAAGTCATGCTCCTTAAAATGCTTAATCTTTTGCAGTTAAATCTAAAAGAGAAGAGACAATCTGTGGCTCATAGGACAGCAAGAAAGTAAAGTGAACTTGCTTTAAATGCTTGAGCTACAGCAGGGTCAGATCAGGTTGCTTGCTTGAAGCCACTCCTCTAGCACATGCCCACTCTGCTTGGCAAGTCGGCATGCTCTTCACTCTTCAGGATCTGTTCAGCTAGAATATCTTAGAATAGAAGCCTCTTTGTAAAATGGTAATTTTTAATGCAAGATAATTTTGTTGTTTGTTATTTTTGTTGGGAGGAGATTATAATATGTATCTAAAGTCTGTATTTTAATACCTTGAATTAAAATAATTACTATACTACTGTATCTTTACTATTTTTTTAAGGATCTTACAAGTTTAGAAAAATTTTACACTTTCATTTACGACCTTCATTTCTCGTCTTGTGGTAAATTTCTGGCCTGCTGTGACAATTACGGATACATCACTCTCTTTAGGTCTGTATGCAGTGCAGCACAAATCCTAATTTATGATTATAATATTTTATTTTATTTTAGCGTCGCTAAAGCTCTAGAACCTTCAGCAGCAGGCGCAACGCAAAAACACATTAATAAATGGAGAGGTTAATTACATGTGTATTATTATTTATTATTATTATTATTAATTATTATTATTAGTTATTATTATTGTTATTATTATTATTATTATTAGGTGATAAATCGTCTCTGTATTGTCTGTCTTCAAGTACAGAGTATTTGTTTAGTGGTGGAACTGAAGGCGTTAGGTTTTGGCATTGGAACAATATAACTAAACCAAATGTAAGTTTAGTAGTACAAATAGCAGGGCAGGTTTGATTTTGACAAATTCATCTTTCTCCTCCTCTTCTTCTTTTTGTTTTCTGAACTCTCTCTCTCTCTTCCTCTCTTTATTGAATAGTCTTCTTCCACTGAGTTAGAAAAACCTTTTTGTCATGTGACGCTCCCTAGTTCACCGTCCGTTTTAAAAATTAATATTCTGTTTTATTTTTTATTTTTTATTAGTTTAAATGATTTTCATGATGTCAACGACCTTGTTTATGATGAAAAAGTAGTCCAAAAATAATTAGAAAAAGAAAGAGAGATCAAAATCTTAATTATATGCATATTGTATATTTAAAGTTTTTAATTATTTTATTGTTACTATTTTTAGAATAATAATTTATATGTTGCCTGTGGCTGGAATGTGTATTGCTTGGACTGTACTAAAGCACTCGTTAAAGTATGTTGTTCTATATTTAGTTTTCTATTTTTAGTAACATATGCTTATTAGGACATATACAGTGGGCATACCAAGTACATACATAGTGTGTGTCTCAGACCCGGTACAAACCAATTTGTCACTGGGTCTGAAGATGGTTCTGTTAAAATTTGGGGTAATTTGGATTACAATAGCTCCCTTAATGTTAATACTGTATTATTTCAGACCCTACGGCTTCTAAGGAAGCAGTTAATACTATTAAAAGAAAGGTATTTCATCATCATCATTATTATTATTATTATTATTATTATAAATAATAATAATTATTATTATTATTATTATGGAAACACCGACAAAAACAAAACAATTATTATTATTATTATAGGGTGGTAATAAAGATGCATGGATTAGTTCAGTAGCCATTGATAGTTCAGGAGAATGGATGGTACATAATACTTTACTAATACTCGATCATAATTACATTTCATTTAGGTGGTGGGTGGGTTGACTCCTCCCACCTTATACAAGATGGGATCTCTAAGTCGAATAGTTGAATTCGATGTACCAAAGAATGTCAGTACTACGGTTTTGAAATTTGCAGCTGGACAGGTATTGATAAGGATACTGGTGTATTTACATTGAATATTCTGCCATTAAGATACTGTATGCATGCATGTACATGTATATTGTACAACTTATAAATAAATAATTTTATAATTTTCTTGTTTTATTTTAAGATATTGAGTGCTGGCTCAGAGAGTGTGGTCCGCCATTGGAAGGTCAATGGTGAAGCTGTCAGAAGTGTACCAGTCAGCAGCACCATATCTCATGTTCTCTCAATCGCTCATAATACAGGAGGGTCTTCACAGCATGAGGTATTTTTCTGAAAAATTTTTTATTACATTTTCTGATGCATATTGATGTCCTTATGCTATGTAGCAAGTTTGAGCTGATTCCGACTTCAATTTTTCAAGTTATGGCCATTTTAATAAAACGCCAAAAATCTGAAAAATACCCAAGGCTATAGCCCATGGTTTTTTCCAAAAAATGGCTCCGAAATGACTCCCAATTTTTATTACATTTTCTGATACATATTGATGTCCTTATGCTGTGTAGAAAGTTTGAGCTGATTCCGACTTCAATTTTTCAAGTTACAGCCATTTTAAGAAAACGCCAAAAATCTGAAAAATACCTAAGGCTATAGCCCATGGTTTTTTCCAAAAAATGGCTCCAAAATCACCTCAAATTTTTATTACATTTTCTGATAGATATTGATGTACTTATACTGTGTAGAAAGTTTGAGCTGATTCCGACTTCAATTTTTCAAGTTACGGTCATTGAAATGCTCCCTCTTTCATGCACTGCACGTTTACATATCACAAAAATGCAATTAATAAAAAATATCCTCTCCTTAAGAAAATGCCACGTTGATGAAATTTTATTTTTTTAGGTGCTTGCAGTTAGTGGAGATTCACCAAACATTGACATTTTCACACATTTAGGATACAAAGCATTCACTCTTTCCTTATAGCAACTGAATTTATTATCAATTAATTCCTTATTAATTCTTTATCATTATTGATAATACTATTAATGCTAATATGCCTCTTCCAAGAACTGCAGCCATACTACTGCAGACACCAGTGGGGATTACTAGGAAATATGTCACACGTTAGCTACTTGAGGTGCAACTGTACTATGATGCTAAGATCAAGCACAAAGTGTGAAGTATTGTACTTCACAGCAACCCTGACCCTCTGATGATGCAAAACTTAGTCACATGTTCATCACATGCAATTCAGTTTCAGATTTGGTTGGAGACAAAGAAAGGCTTCCCTATTTTCTAGCATTTGCTTCAATACTAGCTCCTTGATTGTTAATCCCGTGCTGCAATAGCTAGCTCATATTCCTCATCAATGGCTAAATCCTGTTTGATATTTGTGACTGCATTATGTGCTCTGACTGCTGTCTCTTGCAGTAAAAACAAAAGTAAGATATTCTAAACTGAGTACAACTTTTATGTCTCATATGAAATTTTCATTTTCAAAATTTAATAAATGCTATTCTTGTTTGAGTAGGACAGGGGTATCAGTTGGTAATTCCTGATGGTGAAGTCACCTCCTCACCTTCAGACAGTTCTGTTAAAATAGGAGACAAGCTGACTATATTTTGTGCCTATCCTTCTTACATGCTACCATACATTCAAAAGCCTCGCATCTGTCATGATGACATTAAGAATGGTAAAAAGTTTGGAACCGTCTGCCTTGGGCTTAAGAGCACAACAAATTCCGGTGAACTAGTCAACTTTCTTTACCAGTACACTCCATCCCATCGTGGTGAACATGGCCTCAGATTCACTTGCTCCAATCTTGCTGGATCTGTGGAACTCAATCTACTATGTAAGTTTTAAAACCATTCCCTGCTTTATATTATTATGTCATTTTAGATGGACCGATTATCAGTGACATTAGAAATAACACCTCTAAAACTTTGCGCCTTGCTGATAGTGATAATATCCAACTATTTGCTGATGAAGGAGACTCTCTTTGGCTATCATTCAATGTAGAAGCTAATCCTCCCATGACATCCAATGATGTGCATATTATCAGTAGTGCTGCACCATATCCTAATGTCAATGTCACCGGTAGCAATGTTAAGCTAAACTTCTCTAATGTAAGGCGGACCAATGCTGGTATGTATGAGATTATAATGAAGAATACTGTTGGGAATAGCACCTTAACATTTCAACTTGTTGCATACTGTGAGTTAAATGATCCACTTTGCATCAATAAAGAAGAGGTTATATATATTAATATTTACTTTCCTTTTGTAGTTGGGCCAAGATTTCGCTATACTAATGGAACTTACTCACAGTTGGTCAATCAGAATATCACCCTGAGCTGTGCCTTGCAGGAGAAGACAAACCCTCCATCTACGATAACGTTTAGTACTACAGCTAATTACACCTCTAACGTTCACTGGCTCCCTACTCAAAATCTTATCAAGTTTCATACTTTGGTTATCCCCAACAGTGGGTACTACAACTGTACTGCTAGAAATGCTTATGGGAGTGTTACACAGTGGTACATACTGGATATTGGCTGTAAGTCTTGCAATAGTAATGTATGGTTGAATATGTCTTAGAGTATGGTTAAAATGTTTTGTTGTGGGAATTATTTCTGCACTTTTTCGAAAAACTGGCATTAAATTGTGAAACCTTGTTCAAGCTTAGCTTGTGAGCACCTCTGTGTGTAAAGTAAGTGTAAGAATAATAATAATTATAACACAAGAAAGGAAGTTCTCTAAGTTACTGACTGTACTGCTGGTTAAAAGCCCAAAAATGATTGTCTCTCTTTTAAATGCACAGGTCCTCCTAATGCAACAATCACGGCTGATATTGAATACAATGACAACTGCTTTCGTTTCCAATTTGCATACAACACTCCACACAACATTAATGTCTATGGTTACTTAGTAATAGCAGCTTAAGAATGTTAAATGCTATGTAGCTTTTAATTCTCAATATTTACCTCCACAGTATCATAAAGCTTTGGAAATAATTCTCAGGCTAGTCTATATCTTAGCTTTATTAGCTCTTGCTGCATGATAATCTATCTCTCCTTGACAGATCCTGTAAATGAAACGGTACTAGCAAACTTGAGCTACACTCCAGGAGTACTCGCAGCTAACTACACTTATCTTACTCCTCATGATGAAAGCATACCACACTACCGTGTATTCCTGTTTCAAACTTACCCTGGATTTACCTATTTTGCATCAATTGTTGCTGGGAGAATGCATCGTAATACAACATTACCTCCAGTTGAGAGCTTTAATGTGACATTAACGACTACAATGAAATACTTGTTTTTGGTAATGGCTATCAACAAGTACATGAAGCATGATGTTCAGTTAGTGACAATACGTTTTACTTTAAATGAAGAAAATGAGATAGTATAAAGACATGTGCAGAATCTTTCAAATGAAAGGATTAACTAGTGACTAACAAAATGATAATTACTGATAGATCTAGATTGTTATAATTTTTCTTTGAAATAATTGTCAGTGCTACAAATAATTCCCAGATTAAACTCTTTTATAATTAGTACTGCGTACTCCTTTCAAATTGTACTTTCCTTGACAGATCCTGTGAATGAAACAGTACAAGGAAACCTGAGCTACAGTCCAGGAATATTAATAGCTAACTACACTTACCTTACTCCTCATGATGAAAGCATACCATACTATCGTGTTTTCCTGGTACATGATTTTCAATCGTTTGTTGCTGTGAGAATGCATCATAATATATTGCCTCCAGTTGAAACCTTTAATGTGACATTAACGACTACAATAAAATACTTGTTTTTGGTAATGGCTATTAACAAGTACATGAAGCATGATGTTCAGGTAGTGACAATACGTTTTACTATTGATGAAGAAAACAACATAGTGTATAAAGACAATGCATAATCTTGCAAATGAAAGGATTAACTAGTGACTAACAAAATAATAATTACTGATTATTATGATTTTTCTTTGAAATAATTGCCACGCAGTGCTAAAAATAATTCCCAGATAAAATTTGTTTACAATTAGTATTGCTTTAAAATTGTACTTTCATTGACAGATCCTGTAAATGAAACAGTAATAGGAAACCTGAGCTACAGTACAGGAATATTTACAGTTAACTACACTTATCTCACTCCTCATGACGAAAGTATATATCGCTACATGGTTATACTACTAAAAGCTCACTTCGGAATTAACGTTTTTCAATCATTTGTTGCAGTGAGAGCACATTATAACACAGCATTACCTTCATTTGATAGCTTTAATGTGACACTAACGACTACAATGAAATATTACTTCATGGTAGCAGCCATCAACAAGTACATGAAATATGAAATCAACGTCATTCTATTCTGTTTCTCTATTAATGAGGAAAATGAGATATTATACAGGCATGGATTAGCTAATGAAGATTCTTGTAAAGGAAGAGATTGACTCAACTACTGACTAACAAATTAATAGCTCTAGTTCCTAATACATCGTTAGGATTTTTTTGGAAATAGATCTAATATTTAAAATTGTAATAAAAATTAATAATTCTCATGAAGGCAAAAGCACTAATATCTTATATTTATATTAAGACATGGTATAAAGGAAACAAGGAACATACATTATTGACTAGTAGAAATGGAACAAGATTTTCCTTGAGCTGAAATTTTTAAAGTGCCCCAAATAATTCCCATGCAATATTCTTCCTGTATATGTAGTTTACTCTTTTTCTTTGACAGATCCTGTTAATGACAAGATAGAGGGAAAGCTGCTAAGCTACACTCCAGGATCTTTGACAGCTCAATACACTTACATCACTTATGATAGGAACACTACTTACTACAGTGTCCTCATATCTAAACTTCATAAGTGGTATCATATTGACGTTTATATTAAATTTGCTGGATTGGTTCATTACAAGTCGCTGCCTCCAGTTGAAAGTTATGATGTGAACTTAACGACTGCAGTGAACTATAGGCTGGTAGTGTTGGGCTATAACAAGTATACAGAATATCCCACGTTTCTGGTTAAAATACCTTTCACTATTAACGATAAAAATGAGATACAGATATGACCTGCTGCTGGTCTTGCTGAAGTGCACACATTCACTTACAAATAATAAGGATTGATGAATTGTAATTAATAAGTTTTTCTTTGAATTAAAAAAATTAAATTTCAAAAAGTGCTAAAAATAATTCCCAGGTATTGCTTCTCATAATAATAATAATATTTAAAGTGTGTTTTTCATTGACAGATATTGAAAATGAAACAATAAAAGCAAATCTAACTTATAATCCAGGACAATTGACAGCTCAATATACTTATATGACTCATGATTCAAGCATGCTCTATTACTGTGTCCTAATTCTATCAAAACTCAACGGGTACTACTTGTTTGGTCAACAGCATTTCTTTGGGCTATACTCAACACTACGTCCAGTCCAGAGCTATTTTGTGAACTTAACAAGTACACTGGAATACATGCTACTAGTGAAGGGGCCTAATAAGTATATGGGGAGCCACTCAAAGCATTTAATTGAAATATGCTTCACTGTTACTGAGAATAATGAGATTGTGTACAGAAATGGTCTACCTCCCGTGGAATCCTGCCCTAATTAAAGATCACAAACTATTAATACAATAAAACAATGTACATGAAATATGACAATACTCTAGGACTCTAAATTGGTGGCATAAAAATAAATAAATATATAGACTCTTTCTATTCTTTACTTTATTGCAATGTTGGATTAAAAATATGATACATTAAATATTATTATTATTTCTTCTTTGTCCCTCTCCTTCTCCAGCTGTCAATTGATGCAGGACTAGTTTCTTGTAAATGCCATCAAATGAAAGGAGCTCATCGTGTGTCCCTTCCTCAACTATAAAACCTTCGTTGAGGACTAGGACCTGTGGGGTGGGCATTAAATAGAAATAAACAATGGAACGGAATCACAGTTCATTAAAAATGTACCGGTATATATACTTTTAGTGTGGGTATGTGCATCAATTCAATAGCTCATGCCAGTTACCACAAACACACATGCAAATGTACTAGAGAGTAATTCTCTCCCATTGTTGATGAATATACTATGTGTACTATAGTGCAGGGTATTACATTCTGGAGCAACTTTAAAAATTCGTAAAAAATCTAATTTTGATCAAAATCAGCTCAAACTTTCTACACAACATAAGTACATGTATATGCATCAGATAACATTATAAAAATGGCGAATTTTCACCTTTTCATTTTTGGCAAAATTTGGCCGAAATCCCTGTACTATAGTACAGGGACTTTGGCCCAATTTTTGAGTAACTTTAAAAATTTGTAAAAAATCCAATTTTAATTGGAATCAACTCAAACTTTCTACACAACATAAGTACATGTATATGTATTAAATAACATCATAAAAATGGAGAATTCTCACCTTTTCATTTTTGGCAAAATTTGGCCGAAATCCCTTTCGCCCAATTTTTGAGTAACTTTAAAAATTCATAAAAAATCTAACTTTGATCGGAATCGCCTCAAACTTTCTACACAACATAGATACATGTATATGCATCAGGAAAAAATATTAAAATAGAGAATTCTCTTCTTTTCAATTTTGGCCAGTGACCCTGTACTAGTACATGGTCTTCGTCCCGGTTTTTGAGCAACTCAAATTCAACCAAAATCAATTAAAAATTGATACAGAACATAAGGACATATTAAATATTCTCTGATACCTTTGATGCATTCCTCACAGTTGAGAGTCTATGAGCTATTACCAGCACAGTCCTGCCTATCATTGCACGATCAATGGCTTCCTGAACTAGAAACTCACTCTCAGCATCCAACGCACTCGTAGCCTAAAAAGAAGAGAAAGAGAGAGATGGCAATAAAAACAAGAAAACGATAACATTTATATATAAATTATTGATTGCTTACTTCGTCCAGTAGAAGTATCTTTGGATTTAGTAATAAAGCTCGGGCAATGGCTACACGCTGCTTCTGACCACCGGACAGTCTAACTCCTCTCTCACCAACTAGTGTCTTGTAATTCTCCTAAATAAATATAATACATTTATTCTCTCTCTCTCAGTCTCTCTCTCTTACCTCAAAGGACATTATGAAATCGTGTGCATTGGCCTGAAGAGCAGCTGCTTCAATCTGTTTAAAAGTCATGTGACATCAAAGACCAATTTCTATTACAATGTACCTCTTCTTGAGTTGCGTTTTCTTTCCCGAATGCAATATTGTCCTTTATTGTCGTGGCAAATAGTACAGGCTCTTGATTAACAATACCAATGTGTCTCCTATACCAGGAGGGATCAAGATCTTTAACATTAAGACCACCTTTAAAATAAAAATAGAGAGAAAATAAGAAAGTAAAAATATAAAAGTGTTTAATTTTAAACAAAATAAACCTAATTTTCTTACTTATTAGAATATTTCCATCAGTTAAATCATAAAAGTGCTCAATAAGATTAACAATTGTTGATTTACCACCACCTGATGGACCAACCAGTGCTACCATCTCCCCTGGCCTCACACTAAAATTAACACCCTAGGATTACATCATGAGAACATGGATAAAAATAAATACGTGTTACTAAAAATAAATTACCTTGAGTACGGGCTCATCTGGACGAGAGGGATATGTGAAATAGACATTTTTGAAGAGAATTTCTATTATAAAATATTTAAATTGTCATCATAAAATTAATACAATAAAAAAATTTAATGTACCTCCTTCAAAAGATGGTCTCACTAATGCTCCATCTTGAATCAAAGGAATTCTGTCCATCAGTTCAAATATTCTTATGCTTGCTCCAACAGCCTGTTAGTGGGTGGAGTCAATTAAAGTAGGTGTGGTCTGTTATTAAATACATACCTGCATGAATTCACCGTAAACGTTTGAAATGAAAGCAAAAGACATAGCCAGAGTTAGTGTATATAACATAAGAGCTGAGGGGGAGGGAGAGAGAGGAGGAGGAGAAAAGAGAGAGAATGAGAGAGGTAAATGATAAAAGTATTCATTTGTTGTCATACATGTACATATACCTGTTAATTCTCCTGATGATAGCTTCTGATGATACACTAGATATCCACCATACCACAATATCAAACACAAAGCATTCTACATCAAAAAAAATACAGTACAATACACTAGAGATCATATAACATGTACAAATTAAAGTAGAACCTCTTTATACAGAACACTATTGGGTATATACTAATTGCTTAATACAGTATAGTATACTAATACAGTGATAGGTGTCTTCACTTACATGTACATGTACATACATAAATGGTACATGTACTTTACTTTACTTACATAGATAAGTATAAATACAACTCCAGAGAATCCTCCAATAAGGAATGATATCACCTTCCCTAGACTATAGCTCCTCTCAATGTCCTCATTATAACTAGTCATTAGTTTCATCTCGTTAGTAAAAGCTCTCACAGTCCTAATGTTACTGATACTCTCTTCAGCTGTACTGCTAGCCAGAGCTAACTTATCCTGATACTTCTTCCTTAAATCTTTAAGCTTCCTACCTACACAGTACAAAAATAGAATGAATATAAAAGTACATATACATATAATTATGAGGTGCTCTATATTTACATGTACATATATAATTTAAAAGTTATTGTGATTCATACCATAATAAACAGCTGCTATTGAAATGAGAGGAAAGACTGAGAGTAGGACGGCAGTGAGACGTGCATTAATCCAAAACATGACACCGATTGATATGATCAGTTGGAGTGAGTAACGAGCTAATATTGAGACATTCTCAGTGACGGCACTTTGAATGACAGCAGTATCTGAGGCTAGTCTATTGGTAAGCTCACCAGTTCTGGGTAAAGAGAGAGAGAGGGAGAGGGAAAAGAGAGAAGCAATTAAGACAACCATAAAAGTTCTCTGATTGTGAGTTCACATATTTCATATAATTAATTGAATCACTTAAAAATTAATTTATTAATTGTTAGCAAAAACAGTCGTCAGTATTAAATCACAATGTACTGGTGACCCTTGGCATGTGGCATTCTCTTGTACAAGAGCAGAATTATTCATGGGTTGTTGTACCATCATGAATATAGTAGTACCAAAAGATATTCAAAGTAGCAAGGACACACACACACACACAAACACGCATGCTTGACCTTTACCAATTTAGATCATATATAGATCATCTGGATACAATGGAGCAGCTACACCTTAAATAAAAGCTCATTCTTCATTTTGTATCATTCTTAGAAAGTTAGGAACAACACTTCATGAAAAGACATAATGGCTCTCCTATTCGTTTGCCTTGTATTGCAGTTAGTTCTCCTCTGCCCTTCTACTAATGCTGCTGAGAATTATTCCTGCATCAGTGATTATGATGAATTAAGGAAGGCACTCCGTGACAATGACACAAACAACATTCAAACGTTATTGAATGTGTTTTATACTCCAAACAGACAGGATATTCAAGTTGCTGAAATCGTGTATTGCGTTAGTGAAAACAAGACATATTGCTCTACAGATGAAGTATTCCAGTTCAAATGGGCAGCCAGTGCTCTGTTGCTTATACAGGAGTATGAGCTTATCGATGCTTTGGTTTTTGACTTGTTTAAGTTCAACTATACAACAGCTTTGTTAATTATCAGTCCGCCATTTTGTGATGATGTCAATGAAAATGATAAACTGAGTAATCTTCAACTCTTAACAACATGGGTAAGTATGCAGTCATACTAGTACTGTGTTCACACTACTTCCCCAGCTGTATAGAACTGTACCTAATTAGATTAGTTTGGTTATAAAAGAACCATGCTGGTAGCAGTTCACACTGCACAACTTAACTACACCAAATTCACTTTAAAACTTAACTACACCATTTCAGAGCACCTATTTTGGTGCACCACTTTAGCCTGGTTTGGTTTGGTTACAGTGCAGTTCAGTTATGTTCACACTTACTATAAAACTACACTATACTTCCCCAAAACTCAGTTCCGGTACAGTTCTGAAGGGTAGTGTGAACAGGGTATAGGTCACACCTAGTAGTCACACAAAACTGGCTAGTTGCTATAAATAGTAGCATGTGCATGCACAAATGAATTATTTTATAGAGGGAAAAAATTGGTAGAGCATTTAAGAGATCTTATAATAAAACTAGCCTACTAATCATGTGTGATTAAATCTACTAGTAGTGTACATGTACATTGGTGATACCAGTATATAGGTGTGACAATGAATATTAATTTGTGACCTTTCATTTTAGATAAAACATCTTCCTCACTCAGGTGACAACAATGGATTACAGAATTATGCAGCATATTTCAACACTACAACAAACACCATTGATGTTCAAGTATACCATATAAAAGATCTACATTGGTCATTACTGTTACTGAAGTATGTTGCTATAGCTACTATCTTCATAACATTACTGCTTCGCATCATTTGGCCTAACAGCTTTGCAAATGAAATTGATATAAAATTAGACAAAATTAGCAAAACCTTTTCACTGAGTAGAATATCGAATTTCATTAATAGAATGACAGAGGATATTAATGATAGCAACCAAAGTAATCGCTCAAAAACAAGTAAAAAAAAAAGCTTTGAATATACATTATCATACTTTCTATTGCTGGTTGGTTTTATTATATGGGATTCGATTCAATACAACCAATATCAAAAATTAGATTTAACAAATTTAACAGATTGGTACCTCTTTTTTCCAATTCCTTATATTGCACCGATAGTTATTGGAGTCAGTTTTGTCATATCTATTTTTTGGAGTGGCATACTACTATGTTGTCACAGTCAAAATACCTCATCAAGTCCTGAACATTCAAGTCAAAGTCCTCGAGTTACCTCAAGTCATGACACTACCTCAACTTCTAACACTACCTTAACTTCTAACACTACCTTAACTTCTAACACTACCTCAAGTTCTGAGAGTACTCATGCTTTAGCAGAATTAGCAGGTTTGCCACCTAATAATACCAATGACTCACCTACCCATAATATTTGCACTTGTCGTATTCGTGACTTAATACACTTTCCTATATTAACTGGTTTGGGTGTTTTCTTTGTATTTCATGGCATATGGATGCTACTAATGCTTAGTACCTACGCAACAATTGTCATAGTAAGAAGCTTATTCATATTGCCACTCTTTTGCTTCGCAATGGCATTACTTCCAAGATTGATCAAAGCGTTTTGTAATTTTTTATTGATTCACACTACAAAAAGGAGTGGTATAAGAAACTAAAGGGCTGCATTAAGGAATGTTTCAAATGCAAGAGATATGATGAATGCCACAGTAAGTGTAAGAAATGTAAAAAATGCAAGACATGTAAAAATTGCAATAATAAAACTGAAAACAACCCTAACCCACCAAATAATCATTACAACTGTAAAAAATGCATCAAATGTGATACATGCAAGGAGCGTAAACATTACAAGGATTGTGAACATTGCAAGGATCTTGAACAAAATGATCAATCCAAGATGTGTAAAGAATGTAAAATGAGTACATGTGATCATTGTCAAAGGTGTATACATTGCAAGGAGTGTACACTTTGTGAAGATTGTAAAAATTGTAAAGAATGCAAACAATGCTGTTCATGCAATCTCAGTAACTATTTTAAGCTATGCATAGATTGCATGAATGAGAGAAAAGAACGTAATGCTAAGAACGTAACAGCTATATATGGTTTCATCATCATTGTGGTAAATGCAGTACCTCTGCTTTTAGTGCTTCACTATGGATCCAACTATATACTTGTTGTCACTGACCTCAATGATAATCTACTGACACTTTTAATAGCACTAGCAGTTCTGGTGGGATTTCCATATTACTTGATCTTACTATGGGGTAGTGGTAATGGCAAAAATGATGGCAAAGCAAATTAGCGGCTTGTCCTTGAGAGAGAAAATGCTCAACTGATCAGAAACCAAGGACAACCAACAAGTAGAACTGAAGAGAATATTTAGTGGTAGATTGAAAGTTTACTACAAATTTTTTGTGCTTATTTTTTTAGCTGCTATTACTATAGGATACGTAACTTCTTGTGCTGTCTTTTATTATTATGGCTACCCTTAATATTAATGCTATTCTTTAATTAATTTTTTAAAACTGATTTATCTTTAAGCTTCGCTATTCTTTGAATAAATAAGATTTTTTTGAAATGAGCATGAAAATTGGGTGGACACACACATGGACACACAACAAAAAATGTTGTTATAAAGATCAATGGCATGCATATAATGAGGGTATATCAAGATCAGATGAACACATTACTACACACAAAACTACATATAAAATTTCACTGCAACAAGTGCAGTATCCGTTTGTAACACAAAGTCCCATTTCTTGTCTCATAATAGCAGCAAATAACTACAAAATGCAAATACATGTATAAAGGGGCAGATCTAGGATTGGATTCTTGGGTGGGCCTGGGCAATGATGACGTAGGTGTGGTAATTAGTGGGTGTATTCAACCAAGCCTGCATTCAAAGTCAAAATTTTGAAGATTAAGCCTGTTAAAATGAGCTCCTTTGCGGTTTACAAATTGTTTGCATAGTCGTGCTTCACAGTCATGCACATTAACAAGTTAATTTTAAATTACTGCACAAATTTTTTGGGCAGGCCTGGTGCACCCTGGCCCACCCCTAGACCCGCCCCTGCATGTATACTAATCACTGATCAAATGACAATGGATTGACTCAGTGTCGTCCTTCACCAAAACTGGCCACAAAAAGTCTCAAAATAAAAGAAAAAATATTAAAGGTTGTGAGTTAGGTCCAGCATAAGCCAGCCTTCAGAGTGTTTCTAATTTTACTTTAGTTTAAGCTGCACCCAATTTTGGAAGAGCAATTTTATGTACACATCTCATTGACAACAAAGGAAATTATTCATGAGTTGCAGCATTGCTGTATATTATGTCAATGACATGAATATTGTAGGGCATACATGTAATCAACACAAATCAGGCCGTATCTATGACGATTATCTATGCTATCATATATACCACTGCAGCAGCTCACCCTAAACAAAACCTGATTGTCCATTTTGGCATCATAGGAATAGCAAAAGGATGTAATGGGTTTTCTATTCGTTTGCATTGTACTGCAGTTACTCTTCCCCTGTCCTTCTACTTATGCTGCTGAGAATGATTCCTGTACCTATGAAGGTTTAAAGAGGGCACCATAATAAACAGCATAATAATAAAACAGGACCATAATAAACAGCTGCTATTGAAATGAGAGGGAAGACTGAGAGTAGGACGGCAGTGAGACGTGCATTAATCCAAAACATGACACCAATTGATATGATCAGTTGTAGCGTGTAACGAGCTAATATTGAGACATTCTCAGTGACAGCACTTTGAATGACAGCAGTGTCTGAGGCTAGTCTATTGGTAAGCTCACCAGTTCTGGGTAAACAAAAAAAAGAAAAAACAAACTGGTGGTTGTGATTTACATATTTATAATTTTAGTATTTCTATGCATCAAAAAGTCCAATCCCTTAATCCAATTGTTTAATTATACAAACTAGCAGTATAAACCAGCACAAAAACAAGCATAATCCAAATAAACAAACACTATTACAAATTCCTGTACTGCTAGACCATAGTTGTTATGTGCCTCATTGACAACAAAGGAAATTATTCACGAGTTGCAGCATTACTTTAAATTAATTCGTTATTATGAATATGACGGGGCTTAAGTCACACCATATGAGACTCAGAGGAACATGGAAAACACATGCATGTTCAAATCAGACCATAGCAATGAATAACCTAAATCTATGCTAGCGTATATATACCACTGCATCAGACCACCTTTCACAAAACCCAACTCTCCAGTTCAGCATCATAGCAATAGGAAAAAGGACGCAATGAATCTCCTCTTCATTTGCATTGCAGTGCAGCTACTCTTCCTCTGTCCTTCTATAAATGCTGCTGAGAATGGTTCTGAACCCTGTATCAGAAATTATGAAGAGCTAAGAAGGGCCCTTCGTGACAATGAAACAAACAACATAGCCACATTATTCAATGCCTTCCACCCTCCAAATAGCCAGGAGGTCCAAGTTGCCGGAATCATGTATTGCATTGGTGACAACAAGACATTTTGTTCTGACAAACAAGTTGATGAAGAGTTAGAGCATATGCATATGAACTATACATTCAGATGGGCAGCCAATGCTTTGTTGCTTGTACAGGAGTATGAGCTGATCAATGCTTTGGTTTTCAACTTGTTTCAGTTCAATTATGTAAACATTCCATTAATCATTAATCCACCATTCTGTGATGATGTCAGTGAAAAAGATAAAATAGATAATCTTCGATTCTTAACAACATGGGTGAGCTGTGAGTACTAAATTAAAGGGCAACTGAATAATTTTTGGGGTTTTGTAAATAAATAACAGCTTTAATGTGCTTATATTCCCAAAAAGTGAATGATATGCATATGATACATGTCATGTATTGCTGTACTAAAATGGCTTCTGTTATGATTGTGTTAGTAAAATATAGCCCATGCCATATAGTGGGAATATTGGCAGCTCTTAAAGTGTATTGGCAGTTTTTAAATTGGTAAATTTGCAGCCAGGTGTCATTGAGCATGCTCAAAATGAAGCAAAACAGTGTCGATTTAATGATTAATGGTTAATCTGCCAATTTCCAAAATAAAGCTGCAATCTTTTCCTGCTATACAGTATGTGATACTTGGACCTCTCGTTAATAGCTAAAGCATCAAAAAGAATTATGCATAATGTTAGTTTAAATATGAAATATTACCACAACAGTGGACGAAAATAAATGAAATTTTGGTACACCAATTATTTTTAACAGGAAAATTTCCCAACCTATGATATAAAAATCTATCATATAAATATGCTATATGATATGAACTATTAATTTGGCTTTCAGTACTAATATAAAATCACAAAATTAAACCACGAATTGAAAAGATGAATTATTACATAATGATGTATGATAATGTAAATTTCCAATATTTTCATTTTTAGTTGAAGTATCACGCTCATTACTCACATGGCACTAGTGACAATGACTTGTTACAAGGTTATGCAGTACATCTGAATGATGAAGAGAGCACCTTTGATATAACAGTGTATGGTAAAATAGAAAAATTACATTGTGCAATACTAGCACTGCAATATACTGCTGTAGCTATTACCTTCATAACACTACTCCTTCGAATTGTCTCGATAAGCTTTGCATATGAAATTAACAAGAAATTTGACGAAGCTAGTAAATCCTTATCCTTTAAAGGAATATCGAACTTTATTCAAGGAATTAGAAATGATGTCATTCCTTCAACAAACACTTTTGAACATACCATACCATACTTTCTTTCTTTGGTCCTTTTCATTGTATGGGATTCAATACAATGCAATAATGCTGAAAAAATATATAGTAGAAATGAATGGTTTTTTTTCTATCCAACTCCTTGTATTGCACCAATAACTATTGGAGTCAGTTTTGGTTTATCTATTTTACTTTTTATTTGGTATTGCACAGGATTAGGAAACATCATCAAACGTTATAACAAATGTACATCTTCAAATATAGAAGAAAATTGCTTTTGTTGGAAACATTTTGGTCGGTTGCATGACATTGTGCACTTTCCTATATTAACTGGTTTGAGTGTTTTCTTTGTATTTCATGGCTCATGGATGCTGCTAATGTTTGCTGCATATCCAAACCTTGTCATAATAAGAAGTTTGTTTTTATTGCCGCTCTTCTTTTTCATAATCACATTACTACCAAGATCAATTAAAGGGTTATGTAATTTGTACTACCAATTTATGATTTGCGAGGAATGCAAAAAAAGCAAAACATGTAGAAATTGTGAAGATGCTGGCACTCTGACCACACTCAGTGACACCATTACCACACTCAGTGACACCATTACCACACTCAGTGGTGCCATTACCATACTCAGTAACAATGCTGTCCTAACGACACTCAGTGGCACCATTACCACACTCAGTGGCAACATTACCACACTCAAAACCACACTCAAAAAAACACTTAGTGCATCCAATGGCCTCAGTGAAAGTGTTGACACCCTGACCACACTCAATACTGACATTACAAAATTCAATGGCAAGATTACGAGACTCAATGGCAACATTACCACACTCAATACTGCCATCACCACACTCAAAACCACACTCAGTGGCCCCAGTGGCGGTGCTGATGTCCTGACCAAACTCAGTAACAATATTACCAGACTCAGTGACGACATTACCACACTCAATAAAACAATCAGTGGTGCTGACGCCTTGACCACACTCAATACTGCCATTACTACACTCAGTAGCAACATTACCGCATTCAATACCACATTCAGTGGCCCTAGAGGCAGTGCTGGTGCCCTGACCACACTCAGTGACACCATTACCAAACTCAGTGGCCACAGTGGTAGTGCTGGCACCCTGACTACACTCAATAATGCCATTACCACACTTAGGGACAACATTACCAGAATCAATACCATAATCAATCCTGCTGGT